TGGATGCTTCCTTCCATCAGTAGACACACATACCCACACAGCAGCTCGTTCTCACCCCGCAAAAAAAACAGACTGTTACAGACATCAAAGCAAACACACACACACACACACACACACACACACTCACACACACACACACACATGCACACACACTCTGATAACTCAAATCTTACTGCAGCATGTATTTGCTGAGCAAAGCTCATCCTCCTGCCTCACTCTCCAGTTTTTCTCTCTCCAGACCATTTCCACCAACATCTGATGCAACTATTACGCTGCTGTGTGAAAGCTTCTTCTGGGAGCATACACAGAAACATCTCAGCAACCTGCATATTAGCTGCACATTCAGGCGGAGGTGAGAAATGAGGAAGAGGTGGATAAGTGTGCGCTGGTAAACAGTAGGACATAAAAGATGGGAGCGCGGAGGCAAAGTTGCTTTGTTGGCAACAAAGAGTGGAGCAGTCATTACTCGTCCCGCCCCCCAAGGCACCGGCAGAGGAAGAGGTGTGAAATAGGAGCAGCTCGTTCCTCGTCTGCACTGATGGGTTTATTTAAAGGGTCAGGATTGATCGCTGAACCTTCGCAATAAATAGGAATGCAAAAAAGCTTTCAACCGTCCCGAAGAAATATCATGAAAATGTGTTTTTCACACATGAAGCCTGTGTGGGTTGTTTTACATTCCATGCATTAATGGTCCAAAAAAAAGGTTCTGCCCTCCACTGTCTGATATTTCTGCTTTAATCTGGTTTCCTTAACATCATGGTAGTTCATCTTTTCTAATTTGGGGAGGGGGTACATTCTTATTTCTTGGTTATGTAAAAGATTTACAATTGTTTCTAACCTGAACGAAGACGATTTCAACAGCAGGAGCCCAAACCATGGGTTAGAAATGATCCTTGCTTTCAGCAATGATGTGAATTTAATCCATCTGAAATTAAACATGACACTGAGGTAAAGATAGGTAAATAAGATGGTTTGTGTAGCTGAACAAGAAGGCTATTTTTACATCAGACTTGAGCGCAGTAAGGAAGAACTTTGACTCACTCTCTGACTGCAGAACATGCTCTCTCAGTGCACCAACAGTTCAAACGTTCTGCAAGATAAACAAATAAACGAGTGCATAAATAAACTCTCCTTCTGTCTCCTACAGCCTGGTCCAAAAATAAGAAGAGACTCAGAGAGAATTCGGCTGTTTGATTCTGCATTAATATATTTTTTTCAGAAAGAGGGCATGAGCCATGGATAAGATGGCTGAAGGGAGAAAGTGAGCATAAAATAAATGATCTTTACACAAGTCATTATTCAGTCATGCCAAGAACATCTCTATTTTTAAAGACATGAAGCAAATCATAGGGTACCCAAACATACACAGTCTTACTACAACCACAAGAGGAATGACAAAGCTTCAGAGAATCACTCTCTTTTTCTCTCTCTCTCTGGTCCACTGCAGAGTATAAAGTCAATTGTAGTTGAATTTTTCTTTTCCCCCATTTGATAGAACCATGTGATCTTCTGACTGAAGCTAGTCTTGAGCCCATGATGTTAATTGACAGCACCATGGGCATTATTGACAGCACACCTTTGGGAATGAATATTTTTATCCAATAATCACACAACCTTGTGAGACGGCCTTTGTGGAAAAACATTTTATAATGCTAGATTGTCTGGTGCTCTAAATCCTCCCTCACGAGGTCCAAATCCAACAGTTTCAAACGTCTTTCCTTCTGGGGACGCCAGGGAAGTGACGGCCAGTTTAGCAACTGTGTTCCCCATAGAGTTTTTTTTTAATGTCCTGTATGTTTGTGTGTTAACTGCTTTGCTGTAGTCAGTCCCCAAACCTGAAGAAATATTTAAGATGTTTGATGGAGAAAGAAAGAAAGAAGAAAAGAACAAGCTCTTTCTTGTTCATTTCTATTCGCCCATGATGCTGATACAGAAGCCGTTCTCGGGTTATGATGTGAGCTCCACGAGGGGAGAGGTTGAAAGCACACAGTCTGTCTCTGTGATTTAGGAGATTTGGATTTGTGTTTGAAGCTGCTCCTCTACCAGGATCAGGGTATAGGGATTAGTTTGACATAAAAAGAGCCGCTGAGTCAGGAGCTTCTTCACAAACACACTCATAAGGATACACACCGCTAAAGCAAGTATTTAAACACAACGTAGCGGCACACATTGTTGCCCAGTCAAACACTATCAAGATATCAGTTTTAAAATACAAAGGCCAACCTTTTGATTTCTATAGTTGCCGTAGCTTTAAGTATTTTGGCCCTGCCAAAAATAATGACTAGTTTTCTGCAGTTTATTTTTTAAAGCCTGACTGTCCAGAAGTTTTTTCTATTAAAGACAGACAGAATTTTAAGCCTTTTCATTTTTCAAAAATATTTTATTTGATATTGATCCAGGTACAAGGAAATAAAAGAACATGGATGTATCTTACAGGACATGGGAATGAGACTGTAAAAGTTTATTTTCTTGATTCACTCTCTTCTTGGACGAGGACATGCAAGTGAATCCAGAAGGTGGTTTACAGAAAAAGAAACAGAAAAGCAGGATGTACTGTACTGTAGAAATGGCATAGGATCAGGGTGTCACCTCACCCCGTACTGTACAGAAAGACTTCACCCAACAACGTTCTCTTTTTGTTGTTTTTAATCCTCTTTTATAGCAAAAAGGCAACACACAGAGAGGCTACAAAGAATCAACAATATTGAGAAAATGAAAAAAAAAAAAGAGGGAGTGCCAAAGTACTTCCATCCTTCTTCAAAGACGTTTTCTCCATTGTCTCCACAAGCAAATTATGAGCGCTTTCGCTCCTTGTGTTCAAAAAAGTCTAAAGTTTCTTCAGGTTCGACATGATAGGAGTAGTGCGGTGAACATGCAGGACGAAGAGTGACTCAGACGACTACTGACCCGCCTTCTTTTCGCCGCTGTGTGCCTCCCATCATCACCTCCTTACAGCCCAGCTGCTCACTTCTGACAGCAAACTTTACAAGGAACATAAAACACATCTTATATTCCACGAATCTTTATGCATATTTCACAATATACCTTTATTATCATTTTAATAAATACAAAACGACACTGTGATTTGAAAGAAAACAATGAGTATTAAAGAGACACGGAAACGCATTAGACATTAGAAATATCAATCTTAATTTGGTATGTTCTTTTATTGACATCTTGTCTTAAGGTGGATGAACCAGCACGTTTTACTCAGAATCAAAATCCACAGCAGAAAAGAAGAGGGGATGACAGAAATGGGCATGACAGGGATACTTTAGTAAATGAAAACGGAATGGCAGAATCAATTGGAGATGCGTATGGATATATACACATATATACACATACATAAACATCACCAGAATGTAAAATAACCTGAGATACTCTTTGCACCTCATTTCCAGAACACTGGCCACTGGGTGGATGATAGAAAATGACAATGGCATGACGACAACAGTACAACAGCATCTGATGGCCTTTAGTTTCCACCCCCAATTTTTATCAACATTAGCAGTACAAAAAAAGACAAAACAGTCATCGAACCACAAAAATCCTGAACATTAATCTTGAAAACATTGTAGTAAGCAGCGTTTTTGGAGTCCATAAAAGGCATACAAAGAAACAAGCTTTTCATTTAAAAAAAGGACAACCAATAAAAAAAACATTGACTGAAAAATATTGAGATCCAGAGGCTGAGAAGTCGAAGCGGCAGAGGAGAAGTGTGTGTTTGTGTGGCAGATAGAAAGTGATCTGCTGCACAGTGTGGCTGTAGACATGGAGGCAGTGAGACCTGCTAGTGAATAGTCAAGGCTTTTCTCCATTTTAACTCCCCTGTCTGCTATCAAACAGTAACTCAAAGCTGCATTGTAAATCATACACATTTTTTTTAAAGTAATTCACACACAACACTGTGCAGATTATAGTGTGTTGGTGACGGAGGCACCAACGTTAAGAGACCCTAAATTTAGCAGCACTTAGCTGGACAACACAGGAAACAAACATAAAACAGTAAGTGCTCTAAAAAAGCAAACCATATTCAAATGGATGCAACTGAAGACAAACATTTTCAAACATTAAAGATGTAAACAAATTGTGTTGCTCCACTGAAATTACATGTAGATGTGGGAGTATAATCTCTACCAATCACTAGAAATACTCCTGTGTGGTGTCTGTTTACCTGTTAAGGCGATAAAAGAATCATAAACCAGCCTGTAAGTGCTGTGACTGTATACAGCGTGTGCACAGATTTCACTGACTCTCCCTCACTTTGAAAAGTTTTATGCTTAGTTTGCCGTTTTTTCTGAACCTGGAGCGCAAACTTAGTGTGGTAGATTTTTAGGCAGTAAATCAAAGAAAACTTGAAATGCTTGCAGACTCTCGAAACTAAAAACTTTCCAGTCTGTCTCTGTAAATATTTAAATGTCTAAAAATGAAATGTGTAAAACACGGAGCACGTCATGTTTCTGGTATGACTTAGGAATTCTTCTACTCGTTCAGCTACAGCTTTGTGTCCAGTTCTTCACGCTTCATATCTGCCCCTCAGACTCTCAAACCTTGTGTGTCTGCCACCCAATGGGTCTAACCTATGGGAATGGGTGCCTCATTTGTCAAAGCCTTACTCTTTAATATCTCTCTGTACATAAGTATATAATTTTCTTCTCTTTACTTTACAGTACAGAAACTCCTCTTCACATATTCTTCCGGTTCTTCATGTCAGCAGGAGCTATGTTTTTGTGCTTATCACCAAAAATTGCAGTGCAAAAACAATAATTAATAATAATAATAATAATAATGATAATAATTAATGGTAACTATTAACAAACAATGGACTATAAAACAATTATTTTATGGCACAACAGCCACTCAATTCACATATAATACAAATGACCAGATAAAACCCACTGTTCCTGTTAATGGAAATAAAAAGTTCAAACTGAATCAGGCTTGCATAGCAATGCAACAACAACTTAAAGAATATATTTACAGGAAACAAAACTCCCTTTTACACCCCTCCCCCCCTCCCCCCAAGGACAGTTACCAGAAAAATGTGTTCTCATATAGATGTTTTCCTTTTTTTTTTTTACTTGCCTTTTTCTAACAAAAAGAAAATAACAGTAAGGTAGGAGGTGGAAAATATTTTCTTGAGGACAAAAGAACATAGTGAGATGTACAGTATGTCTGTGTCTATACATCACATTTACAGTTCTGTGACACTGCGTTTCTCAGACGTGCCCTCTGCTGCTCCTCTTCCCTTTGAGGGCACACAGAGAAGGACAAAGTTCGTTGCCCACACTGGAAGGGCGTCTTTCCTCCGAGGTAAGACCAACGTGTTTTCCAGTTCACATCCCCCGGCAGATCACTCTGTGGGAAGAGCAGGGGAGACAGAAAAAAAGTTTAAACTTGTATTTGCTGATATGCACAGATTTAGTTTTTCATTTACAGTTCAACATTTTATGCCCAAAAGCTAGTTGAGAAAAATGATACTAATCACGTCTGTGCATAAGGTAGACAGAGTCAGCTTACACAAGTTCTCAATATAATCAGGACAGAGCAAAGGACATATTTACTGGATAAACTTACAGCTAAACAAAGACGCTACATCAAGCTAAACAAAAATAAACTTAAGGAGTTTAATGAGATGGAAAACAGCTAGCATAGCTCTTTCTAAAATTAACACTATTAAGATCATTAGAGCTTCAGAAACTCTCTCATTAACATGCATTTAGTTTGTTTCACATCAGCCAGAGGCAGTGACCCTGTTATTGGGAGGTTGTGAGGACTTCAGTGCTACAGTACACAGAAGAACTCTGCAGATGGATGCATTTGTGTTTTCCAGGAGCAGCATATCAGATAATTCAACGTTAAATCATGACTTTCTTCACATGCAGTGCGGTACAATGTTAATCATCCGGACACTCACATAACTCCCCCGAGTACTGTCCCTGTCCGTTGGCCCCCAGGAAGTCAGCGTGCTCCGAAGCCGTCCACTGCTGTGGCTGTCGTGGACCCTCGGTTTTGCGTGGCCCCGTCGAGCCCTTAGAGGAGGCTGTGCCAGAGGAGCTCTGACCCCCGGGGGAGGGGAACGATGGTTTACTGTATGGCAGGCACCCCTCCTCTGCAAACACAAAGAGGATTTGGAGGGCATTATTTAAGTCTGACACAACATGTGACTTTTATTGTTGAGGTGAAACACATTTGACATCTGATGCATGCAGACAAAGAGCATTTAGAATCACCCCCCTCCTCCTGACATCTGCAGAGTGGTCGTGCCAACAGGCGATGCCAGGGCGCGCCACAGAGAGGAATCTCAGCCTCACACATGGCCCTGCAGCTAGCAGCCTTATGAGGGGGTAAATACAATAACATGGGGACCTCTGGCTGCTGTGCCCACCGACTGCTGCAGGGCAACACAACATTGACCCTCAGCAGCCTCCATCTTTGCGTGAAATCTCATCAAACTGCTCCCCACTGCTCAGCTAATGACTGTACTGGAGCCTTCCCCCGACCTCGCTGGAGTCTGCTCTGAATCATTCAGCTTTCTGACACGAGGGAATTCACCTATGGGGTTTTTTTTTTTGTTGCAAATTGCAGATTGCTGCACCTGTCTTTGTCTCACAGTCTCCGATGAACTGTCTGACTAAGTCCTCGCATAAAGAAGGCATGACGCATACAAACAAATACACAGATGAGCACAGAGACACACAGATGGGGTGTGGAGTGGCTGCTGTTTGTGTGTGAAAAGGAAGCTGAAGCGATTAGAGTGCATTTCAGTTGCTGAGGCCGCCTGCTTTAGTTGGAGCCGAGCTGGCCAACTTTGGCAACAGTTTTAGTGGCGTTGAGAAGGCGGGGAAGAGGGGGGGCGCATTCTGGAAACCAGAGCAAGTGGCAGACAGTGCAATCTGTTCATGGGAGCCCAGTCTGAATGCAGAAGGGAAGCTAACTTCAACACAAGAACTCATAAAAATCCCACACTCTGAAGTCACAGCAGCAGCAACACTCCAGAGTCCTGCTATAATTAAATTAATTACCTAAACAAAAGCCTTTAAGTGGGAACCAGGAAAGTTTCAACTTGTTGAAAACGTGAAACCTAAATGTTTTGATTGCTTTTTTTTAATGAGTAGTTGTACGTTAGCAAAACCACTTTGTGGATTTTGTTGAGCTGTGAAGTCGAGCAGAAAATTGGAACATTATTTTGGGAGCATTTCATTTTAAGAAATAAATAATGTTTCTGTTGCTTTAAAGCATCAGTGCAGAGCTCTTTAAAAGTTATGTGATTGGCTTCGCAGAACATTTGTAAACATGCTGTTAGCCGGTTAGCATAGCTACGGTGATGGAGAAGTGAGTCTTCAGTACGTCTCTGCATGCGTCAGTACAACTCTTGATTTACAATTTGACAACAATTGTGCGAGTTGCTGAAAATTGATTAAGAACAGTTACTTAGCATTGATTTTGGCGCTACCTGTGAAAAAGTAGCACATTTCAACTTTTTGTAGATTTTGTCCTGTATATGTGTAAGTCAGGTTTTTTGACATAAGTACTCAACCGCCTGTCTGTGAACTGTCGATTGTCTCCCTCTTTGTGATTTTTTAACTTAAAATGTTTTAAAAAGAACAACCGTTCCTGCAGTACGCTTTTATTGACTTCATCTGACACCTCGCCCTCGACAGAGGTTTTCAGCATTAAACATATCTACTATAAAGAAATAGTAAATCTCTATGCTGATGGTCTCACTCGCTTCTGTAGCTCATGAAGAGATATTAGTATGGATTTTAGTCTGTTTCAGAACCAGCTGAAAATCCTCCATGATCTTTAACTGAATGATTTTTTACTTCCATGAACATTAGGATGTAAAAGAGCATTAAGACTGTAATAACTTTACAGGGCTGTTTTCCCTGACTATGAGACTAAAGAAAGGTTTTGTCTTAGTCACACCTGTTTTGTGTCCCCTGCGTCCGTCATCAGCTCGTTCCATGGAGCCCAGTCTGTCTTGAGCCTGGCGATGATGATCCAGAGTGGTGCGCGTCTGTCTGTCCACGGAGTTCTTTATGTCATCAGGCAGGACCCCTGATATAGGCGGGCGCTCCAGAGATGAAGCCTTTCTATCTGTGGGGGGTGCCATGCTGCTTATGCTGCGGGCCCCCTGGATACGGCCCTGCCCCTGACTGGGAGGAGGCTCAGGAGGAGGAGGTAGGTCTGTGCCGAATTTCAAAAATGTATTATTTTTAAATGTATTTTGCTTGTCAAAGGACTGAAGAGTCAAACAAAGTTTCCATCCAATGCATATTAACATAAGTCATTCTATTAATAAAGAACAACAGATGTTTCAAAGTTTCTACAAAGACTTCTTAAAATGTGTTTCACTCGCTGCCTCACCGTCTGCACCAGGATCTCTCCGGTGGGGTGCTGTGCCCTGGCTTCGGGGTTTGCGTGTGGGCCTGGTGGCCCTCTGGTGGCCCAGGCTGTGTGTGCCGACTGTGCTGCCATCTGTTGAGAATGGGCTGCCGGGCCGGGGCCTGTGAGACAAGCCTTTACCTGCAAGACGGGGACAAGAGCACATGCCAGCTGGTTAATAAAGGCACTGATGAGCCAATGCCAAGACAGTGGAGCTCAAACTGTCATCAAGGAAGGGAGAGGTTATCAATCAAGACCCCAAACCTATCAGATAAAACAAAGGTTTGCATTAGAAAAGAGGAAGCTTGGAAGAGTTGCAAGGATAAAATATCACCCGGTTTTAACAATAACCCCAAAAAGCTTGATTCAAAAGTCACAGTAGTCGAAGAGAAGCTTAGTAAAAGTCAAGGACAGAGAAGTCTGCAGTTCAGCCATTTAAACAGGTGCCATGCACAACCAGGGCACAGAATCCACAAGCAGCTGAGAGAAAATCAAGAGCCAATGTCAGCCAATGGATGGCAGGAGGAAGGTTCAAAGCAGAAAGGAACAAATCGTGTGCCACCAGTAGGAGTTCCAGTCCAGCAGAGAGGAGCTGATCTCCACACCAACCTCTCTTGCTGAGACTTGTGCCATCCAGGCGGTATCCCGCCTTGTCTGCCGCTGCCACCAGGGCCTGGGCAAAACTGCATTGAGTAAAGATGGAGCCATCGGACGAACTGCCCAAACTGGACCTGTGGCTGGAGAAATTACGGTCGTCCTCCGAGGCTGAGCCCCACCCATTCACCATGGACCCTGAGGAACACCACAGACTTCAGCAAATGTGCCTATGAGTGTGTTGAACTGCTTGTGTGAATGGATTCTTTCATACTTCTCAGCTCAGTGGCCATAACCTTTATGGAAATATGTTCTGACATTTGAAACATCTGTGCTGTGATTGAACATTCAGATGGATGAATGTATTGAGTGATCTTATAAAAAAAAAGGTAATATTAGCGTCCTCGACTTAAATGATTTCTTGTTTGCTGCAGGGCATGTCTATTCTTGCAGCTGAGTGCTTCTGTGTAGTCATTCTGTTCTGGCCTGTCCTCTTTCATCTAGTACACACACATGGAAGAATATAGGATGCATACACACACACACACACAGGTGCACACAAACACAGACACAGGTGCACACAAACACACACTGTAATGCACACAGTGAAACAGCAGGACTGGCATTGACTGATTTGCTCGTCTTTTGACAAAGAACAATGAGCACACCTGTGCTGAGCAGACTTAGCTACAAAACTGCCTCAGGTGACACAGATGAAGCGTCCACAAAGCAACGTACTGAATCAAACACCTGGCGGTATGTTTCTTTTTAAAAGTGCAATGCCATTATTGTCTAAAAGATGCACAAACTTTAAGAAAAGAGAACTTTATAAAAAAAAATAAAGTACTTGTCACTGCTATAGTTTTAGACACCTTGACTCATACATAAAACTTTAAAGAAGATTCATAATTGTGGGATGAAATCAATACACTATTTAACATGCTGCAGCCAGTAAAAGATAAAGAAACATCTGAATGTACTGAGTCTGCAGACATAAGATGTGGACATATATCAATAGACTTTTGGACGTATATTTGTGCTACTGTTAGTACTTCTTCATGCATAGATTTTTTTCCTTTACATAAGCAGCTAGGCCAGCACTTTAAATATAAAAGTATCAGTCTGCCAATAAAAATATGCCACTTTGGCAAGCAAAAACACAGCGAACAGTCGGCTAATGTGACAGCTTTCAGTGGGACGGGTTTGGCAGACTTTGCTCAAGTGGCACAAACCCAAGTGCTCCGCTCACAGACACACACACACACACACAGACACACACACACACACACACACACACACACACACACACACACACACACACACACACACACACACACACACACACACACACACACACACACACACACACACACACACACACACACACACACACACACACACACACACACACACACACACACACACACACACACACACAGTGTCTCTCCCTCACACAGAACACAAGAAGAGTGATGTGATTGAACAGACTGCTGTAATGGAGAACTGGGGAGGTGTGAGAGTAAAGGTTGTAAAAGGAGCGATGGGGACAAAAAGTTCACAGCAGGATTTATTAAAAGGTCAGTGTGATACAAAGGGAACCGTAAACCTTGGCAGGATGGCTGGCAGAGTTCAGAGATTCAAATCAACACACCTTCTCCATTTATTAGCTGCCAAAACAAGAGATTGAGGTTGCTACTCCTCTTTGAAATGTCCCTTTACACGTTTTAAATCTTTCTTTGAACTTGGAAATATGATAATGTACGCTTTAATAATCCTGGAACACTGAGAAACAGCCTTCAAACAGCTTTCACCTCCCCATATGAGGGTCTTTTGTCTCCAAAAGGTTGTTACTCAGTCACCGGGAGTGACTTCAGGGAATTGCACCTTTAACAGCCAAAGTTGCAACATCTTTTCACTCGTAGTGCAGTGAAATTCCCTGAGATTAATGGAAACTTCTGTAAAATATAAGCTTGCATAAGGCAGAGAACCCCTTACACAACCCCTTTTTACAGCGCTAACTGGAATCCAAGTCTACTCCGAGGCCTCCATCTCGCACAGCTATTTTCTTTGAAATTCTTTTCAGAGAGTTTTTCTCTAAAGAAAGAAAGACAGCAATTCCGCTGGGTCCAATCCTCCCACAAAGAATAGAGCAGATATTGAAGTATAGGCATGCCAGCCAAAGCAGTGAAGCTTCCAACTCCTCCGGCTCGGCGGAGGAACACTGCCTCAGCAAATCACATCACAGAATGACTTTTCACTTGCACTAACTGCCACTTTCTACTGCTGAACCTCTGGAGCACTTCTATTCTCTGACATAGCAGACCAATCAAAGTGTGATCATTGTAACATAATTTGATAAAAAATTCAATCAAGTTTTCTTTTTGCCCTGGAAATGGGGGCTTTTCTCCTGTAGCTGCAGACCCGGCTTTGCTGTCATTTTATCTAGACTTAAACCAGAGCAATGGACCAAACCATAGACTGTAAAAACCACTGGCTGACACCTCCTGAGCACAACGCACTGATAGAGCAAGGCCAGTAAACGGGAGCTGGTTTGGGGGCAGTAAAACCAGCCCAGGCCTCTCCTGCCACTAAAACTGATTTATACGCACGGAAACCCTAATCTGCATGTCGTTAAGATGGAAAATCATTCCCCCTGACGAGAAGGCGTCTCTACCTGCCGTCAAGAGACGTGACCTCGCTCCTCACAAACGTGGAAGGCTTTATGGGAGAGTAATCGCCCAGAACAGCCCAGCTTTCAGCTCACTGTAGGTATAACAGCCTCACAGCAACAGCATCTCAGATTTACACGACCTTTACCGCCTACACACAAAGCCAGGTAATACCTTTGTGTTAACTTCATCTCTCTGGCTCAAGCTCCACATGGCTTTATACTGCCCGCCACAACATCAGGATTTACATTTATCCGTGAAAAAAAATGTGCTGTATTATCTCAGAGCATAGAATAACACATTGGGAAGCCAGTGCAGAGAACCTGCGGGTGAAAAATGGTCCCTGAGGAGAAGGTGGCTCTTTCATTCTGGGGCATCAGTGAAAGTGTTTGATTTACTGGCCTTCGGTGTACCATTAAGAAAACAGACCTATTTCCATATTATTAAACAATGACAAATCTATCAAGCGAGGCTCGACAGGAATCTTGCCACCTACCCTCCCCTATTTGTATAGCCTCAAAATGGTGGCGGCAATAAATCTGAGCAGTTTCTCCTTTCCTCCCTCTCTTCCTCGTGCTCACCCTGGAGCTTAAACCGTGTCTGTGTTGTCAGCGGACGGGGTGTGAGGCAGACTTGCAGAGAGATAAGAAGAAATAGTGCTGTCTTCAGAGTAATACAGTGGAGGAGAGATGCAGTAGATTAGGGCCCAGTTGCTGCTTTATATTCCTCTAAATACATCAGCAGTAGCATGTGTCAGCGCTACCAAAACCACTGTTCCATCATCCCATGGAAAACTACTCTTTAAGGCTGCCACTGACAGGAAAGAGCAACAAACAGCACTCTCAACCCTCTTATTCTCATGCACTCTCTGTTACATCAGATTCAGAGCATTTTTCTGCCTGCTCCTTGTTTCCTTTCACACATAAATGCACCATTATGGAGTTTATTTTTGAGTTCTCACAGCCTTTTTGGGGGGACTTGAAAGTTTCAAAGGGATAACTAAAAGAAATATATTTGTAATCGTCATAACCTGCTGATTATACTGCATGATATCCCGATGCCACACATCATTCATCCATATTTCCTTCCAGTTTTGACTCTGTAGTCTACAGATGGAGAGGGTGGCCTGGTCAGTGTGAAAGCAGCGGTCCACAGCCCAGCACTGCAGCTACAATGTCGTGCCCTTCATATGTCCCCTTGACAGACGGCTGTAAAAGTTTTCAGTGAGTTGTAAAAATGGAAATGGTGCCTCTGGTCTGGAATGGAATATGCCGCACGTGAAATTTATTTCAAATCTCCTCGGGAAGATATGGGCGGTGCTGGCTCCTGTGCGCGAGTAAAATCACAGTCGCTCTCCCCTGCTCGCCATGTCTTTCTCTCTTCTTAATTTCCCTCTCACTATCCTGCTTAAAATTCATGGACTTTCTTATCTCTTTTTTTGGGAAATTATAATTATAATTCCCCAGAGTCTGCCAAAAGTGCTTAAAATTTTTTGATTGAGGGACAATCGGTAAGCGTGTTCACATAAAAAACGTACGCAGAGAAGACTGATTAAGAACAGCAATCCATCTAACGTTAGACAAGATGTGACAACAATAGGAAATTAATGTTTCTCCACACATAGTCATTTGGATCAAAAGAAAAAGTCCAAATACATTAGTGTCTAAAACATTGAAATAGAATAATATTAATGGTGCAAATACTGTATGTAAATGGAGATCATACAAAATCAACAGAGATTGAGAATCAGATGTACCTGTTAAAGAGCTGTCCAGGTTGTCCATGCTAGACCCTGGCGTGTGCTCAATCCCACGGGGATGCCTGGCTCCATAGCCTTCATCCTCCTCTTCTTCCTCCTCCTCCTCCTCCTCATCCGGCAGGTCAGTCTCCAGGTCAGAAACCATTGTGCTAGACACGTAGCCCACTGGAGGAGCTGGAGCCTGGGGAGGAAGGGAGCCAACCTGCATGTGCCTGGGAATAGAAAGAGATAGCATGTTACTCAAATGAAATATAAAATATACATAGAAATGTGAAAGAATAATGAATACAAAGAAAATTAAAGGAGTATTCAGTTGGCTATTTTTTGGCCACAGGATGGAGAAAAACTTGTGAATGTGTGTCGAGCTTTTTTTAGCCTTTTTAAAAGCAAACTGCTGAATAGCTTTCGACAATTCTCAATAATTCCATGTTGCTCCTTGCGTGCTAACACAATGACCTACTAATTGCTGCTGTAGATGGTACAAAAGCATGCTCTCTAAGCCTGCCGACACGTGGTTGTCACCTCAGTGGCAGCCCGCTCTGCTGACAGCCACGTTTGTTTGAGGAGTGCAATGTCTTTGACGCTTTTTGCAGTGGGAATTGGTTGTAATTACTGGCCCTCTGGTGTTGTCAGAGATGCTCTCTAACCAACATAGTCATTACTGGGTAACATGACATCTCCTGCCTGACAGGGCTTCCCTGCCCCCCCCCCCCACACACACATACACTTCACTATTATGAATGAATGCCAGTCTCTCATTTTTCCTGCGTTGCTGACAGAATGAAGCATGGCCTTCATCTGACTTGCATGAGAACAACAACAATGGAATATGCCGTACGGGTGTGGAGGGGGGAAGTAAATAACCGTGGGTAAGAAATTGTGTCTCTTAGAGGGAGCAAAGTACAGTAGTCGCAAAATTGGTAGCATGGGCCCATTAAAATGAAATGATTAATGGGTTTATCTCCACTCCACACACAGTTGACATGAAGAATGCTGCAGGGCCAGAGTAAACCCTGGGACCAATGCATGCAGAAAACAATATACAGCATGCATGCAGTAAAAGACAGCAATGCATATATTACAGACAGACAGAGAGGTATAGATTTAGATTAGATAGAATGGATGGATGGATAGATAGATAGAAAAGTATCATAAATCTTAATATACTAAATAACAATGTGTTTAGATTCTGCAGTTTTTACCATGTCTGCTTTGCCATGTCCAGTTGGTATGCTCTGGTTAGTTCATCCAAATGAGCCTGGAGCATGGGCTGCATTTCATCTCTGGGAGAAGGGGTAAGGGTGGCGGTGGACTGTTGTCCAAAGGAAACGGCAGCGGGGGAGGAGGCAACCCCTCGGATGGGTGGAGTGGGAACCCTCTCCTCCTCTTCCTCCAGCTCGTCCTCCATACCTTGGTGGAGATAAGTCTGCACAGGCATGGGCGGGCCCCAACCATCACTCTCATACCTAGTGAAAGAGGAGAAGCATTTTGATGCTGAACTCTAGGGAAACAACACACTTACAGTCACAGTGGAGTATTGTTTTTAAAACATGATATGAATATTAAAAAAAAATCACAAAACCGACAATGCCAAATGAAAAAAATCCATTTAGTTGACCAACAGTAAAAAAAACGGTGGAGGTTACATGTACTGCAAGTTTTCCAAAATGTGAAGCTGATAACAAGAGTGCAAGACATTTTACTAAATAAGAAATGAACTCTAAACATGGAGGAAAGCAAACCTAAGATAAGCTACATAGCTGAATGGAGAGATACTTTATTGATCCTGAGGGAAATTCAAAAGCTCTGTGTTATAACAATTTAAAACACTATAAAAGGAATTAACAATGAGGATACTAATATAAACACTAAGAACAAAAAACCCTGCGTACAAACACAAGGCTGTTTGACCTTGTCGAACTTTAGTAGGATTTATTAAACAACAGGTCTGAGAGGAGTTATGGAGGTAGTCAGGCTTCACGTCCTCATGGCTGTGCTTATACATCCTGAAATAATACTGGCCATAAAGAAAATGTTCATTAAAGAAATTTGTCAGTGCACACTCCATAGGACATAACTGTTTTAATCTGCTGCCATTAAGAGCCGCCCCAGATTTACAGTGCAGGGGACTCTTCATTTGCCAGATAGCCTATTAAAGCCGATGACTCTCGCAGATTGAAAATTGGAGTAAGAGGACGTAGCACCTACTGGACCAAGGAGAGAGACACACACTCACATTTAACTAAGCTTCTGGTACTTTGCTACTTCTGATGAGTATGTTTGAGCCTCTGTTGGAGCCTAATTAAATGTTCAAAATGTGTTATTTGATAAAAAAGTAGAGATATACGCTAAATAAAATGTTTTAATACACAGAACATTTATAATAACAGCTTTCACGTCTATTTCAGACTCAGAGGTAGATCAAATTCTGCTGATATAAATCCCCGACTCTGTGTCTCTGAAACAATGCAATTATTTTTTTCCACTCTGAATATCAGCAAATAGATTAATCTGAAACCATCTGTGTCTCTATGAGCCAGTAGCAGCAGGGGATTGCTAGAACATAGTTTTTTTCCCTTCTCTCTTTATTTTCCTCTCATATAGTCATGCCGTGGATTGTAGACAGGATCAGCAGATAGTTTGATCTGGAGCCATCTGTATGTGAGTCTTCATGTGGGCGCCTGTATATGGGAGTATGTGTGTGAGTATCTGGCTGCCTGTGGAGCCCATACACACACAGTGATCCTTCCCTTTTCTCCAGATGTACAGTCGTACAGTAATTAGCTGCAGAGAAAACAGTTCTAAACCCTGTTATTACACAAAGCAATGTGTGGTGTTGGTTCTGTTGGCAAACACTGTCTTGTTTGTTCCAGCGATAAAGACTTGACTGCTGAGATAGTCAGGCCAGGAAACCAATGACTGCATGTTGGACACAAACAGTGAGAGCACTATATGAAGCATGGCTGTATTCCAACGCTTCACTGGATGTGTTAAGTTAGTTTCGACTTAAATTCTTATTAATTATGAGTTCATCTTGAAGTTCAGCAGCCCACAATATGACTATAATATTTAATACTTTTTATTTTTATTTTTAATTCATACATCAATTAAATTTGACCTCACCTTTAAAACAATAAGTCAAAAAGGCTCAAATAAAAGCTGGAGAAGTGTTGATGGCTTGGATGGAGATAGGTTTAATTAGTTAATTTAAAACATCAGGTCCAAACTAAAGGAACATACAAGTCAGTATTTCAGTGAGCCATATCAAATGTTTGCTGTTTTTACCATTTTGCAAAAATAAATCCGACTGCATACATTTTTTGCTTTTAATATCTCTTAAGGGCAAACGATCTTCAAACCAATGTATCAGTGATGATTTAAATCCCTGGTAGACATACCCTGCTCCTTCATGAAGCTCATTGGGATAATGGTCCATCTCAGTGCCAGGGAGGGGGTGAATAGGAGGAGGGGGCAGGGGAACATTGGCCCAGTTGGACCCATTAGCTTTACTGGGTTTAGAGCCAGCCTTGGTCTTCTTCTTCTTCCCTCCCTTTCCACCTTGAATGAAGAACAGAGACATTTAAGAGACACGGTCGTTGAAAATGAGATTGTAAAAGAAAATCAATTAAAAACTAATAAAACAAGTTGGATAGCATTGCTAATCATAGTAGCATCTGTTGCCAAGTGACAAATGTATCTTCTAGAGAAACTCAATTTAAACCAAACACGCTCCTAAGATTACAGATCCATCCGGACTCAATTTCAACATGCCCTTGGAAAAATCATACACAATTTCAAAGCCAACATTTCAATGGGCTCCTGCCTGTCAGTGCTTACATAGAAAAGCTCAAGGTTGCCTGATGAAAAGCATGCTCCCATTGATTAATTGCCTGAAAAGCCTCAAATCTCCATAGAAACAGGAGAGAACGGCGGTAAACGAGGCTGAGGCAGACCTTTGTGCTCCACCCATCCCTCAGTGTCCCCTTTAACACCAGGCTTTGGGCTCCACAATGAAATATCTCACTTCACAGCATCATCATAATGAATGGCTTGTGTAGTGTCAGTGTGTCCCTAATGGAATTTACTGAGAGTCTATTACTACTTTCATTTCTTTTATTACACTGGAGAGCTGCTAACCCCATCCATTTCCACTCATATCCCTCCAACACCAGATTCCCCTCCGACCCATCCATCTTTATAAATCTGCCAGCCAGGTCAATACTGGGTTTTATACGATTTGGTCACCTCGAAAGAAACGTTTATTTCCTTTAAAACTCATTTGACTTCAAGCCCAAATCCGTTTTAAGTTGAGGCAAATAAAAAACCACATGAATACAAAAACATGCAGATTGCAAACCTAATCTCAATCGTGTTGAGTTTTAGAAAATGTGAACGTCTAATTGGTTCTGTGGTTTATAAGATGTTATCTTCATTTTCTTTGACTACATTTCACGGCTGTTTTTTTTCATCACAGTCATATTACTGTACTATTATAAAGTGAAACTCTTTTTTAATCTCTCTTCATTTATGAATGAATGCTCAAACATTTCTTACAAGCTCTTGTAGCAATCTTAAGAATAAAGAAAATGTAAACTGAACATCACTTTTGTATTGTGTTCCTTCATTTGTAGAAAAAAAGGGATTACTCTTACATTAGGGCTGCAATAACAGTCAGTTTCCCCCTTAAATAAATGATTATTTCAGCCCGCTTTGATCTATAAAAATCTGAAAATAAATGAAAAGCAAATCCTGTAAAAAAAAAAAAAAAAGAAATATTTAATGATTTAACAACTAATCAACTGATAAAAATAATTAAAGACAAGATTTATTTATCCAGAAGTAGGAGACAAGGAACCCCTGTCTGATGTTGAATACAGCTATCTAAGCTTGTCACACATTACAAAGAACTTCATTTGGAGCAATGATTTCTGAGTGTTGAAGTTTATAAATAAGTATCTTTCTCTAATGCTACTTAAGCATAAGATTAAGTAGCATCTTAAGATAAGACTGGGTTAATATAAAAGGAAAAAGAGGACCAAATGTTAAGCACTATACCCGTCTATAGATCCATTTGTGGCAGGGTGAATTTCTTCTCCACCAGTAAGAACCTTAAATCTCTATCATGGAAATAACCCAAACTGACGTCAGCAGCCACACACATTAGTGAAAGACATCTTGGGGAAACTCTGTTGAACACATTTGTATCTGTCATCTGATGGTTAGAGTTTGCTGCCAAAGGCCTGTAATCACTTTTCCCCATGCCACAAAAAAGCTGCCAATATTCAATCGTGTGCAACGTAAAATCATGCACTCTAAAGTAATCTAATAAACTGACTTTACTCACAGGCAGTAAAAAGTAGATCACTGCCATCATAAGAAACTTACATACATTCTTTTGTTCTATTGATTATCATGGAAGCCACAGGACGGAGGAATACAAAACTCTAAAGTGAGTTTTTAAGTTATTTAAAGTCTTTTAGAATCAAGAAGAACAAAAACATCCTTACAATGAGAATGAGAACAATGCTGGGGCAGAGGATGAAACATCAGGCATGAGGAGATAGAAGGGGTGTCAGTAAAAGATTAATCAAGAAGGGAAGTCATAAAAGAAACAACTGTAAGCCCAAGGCAGACGGCAGCACAGTGTAAGCATAGTCTGAATGTAATTGGGTTTCCTAATCGCACCTCTGGGCGACGCTCGACTTTTACCAATAAATGGGGAGCTGACGTGATTGTTCAATCATCCTTAGCCCTTCACACAAGACCAGCCATCAATATTGTAAATGAGCCTCTTCTAGGGAAGGATGGTCTGGCATCGAAGTTACAACAGCTTAGTCCAAATATGAAAAATACAGAGAGAGGCTGTGGCTAGGAGCTACACAGGAATTACACAGTGAACCCATCTCCTGTGACAAAACTAGGACTCTCTTCAAAGGGGAACACATACTAAATATAGACTCAGCTTCGGGTATTTATACTCTAGGTTTGGGCGCTCCCAGCTTCTAACTGCAGGGCTGCATAGCCTTGAGCTTACTTTGTTTTCATTGGATGCGTCAGTGCTGAGGGGGAAAGCCACAGAGCAGAGACTCCTGAAGGACTGTGCAGCTGGATATAATCTTTGAGTGGGAGAATCATTTCAAAATGGATATCAAAATAACAAAAGTTGTGTATCATAATTTTTTGTTGAAAAAAAAAAAACAGAACAGGTTACATAACAGGGTGAGATGCAACATAGGTGGAGAGTACAGAAGAGAAACAAGGTCACAACCAACCATGGACTTCACATTATCAGGGACTATGCAGCTTCCCAGAGTTTGAGAGGAAGGAGTGCAGGAGTCTGCAGGGTCTGAAACTGCCTCAGAAAACATCAGCTACCTATTCTCCTCTACACTAAGACAGCTTTTAATGAGCAGTTTCATGTCCCCAGTGGAGATCCATGCTGCCATGAAAGCTGCTCTATTTCTGTTCCTTTTCATCCCGCTCTCCTCCTTCAGACCTGACATTCATTATTCCTTCCATCTCCTTAGAGGCAGAACAAGGCACTGTAACTTCAACTCTTCCCCCCCTTCAAACACAAAACTTACTTTGGTTCAAGTCTGATAAAACCTCCGCTTGTGCTGTTTCAGATCCATCACTGTTTGAAGGTGTAGCATACAGTGTACAGCATAACTTGAATATGTACAGCTTATAGACAGACACTGGTTTTATTCATCATCTGATGATCAAAATAGCAACAGGTGTAATACATATCACACATTCTGTTAGTTAATCATAAAAGGTAATTATTTTATAGCAACATTTTAACAGATTCACACTTATTGTCTCTTCAATTCTTTTGATCTTTTATTAGCCTAATAATAAGATGCAGTAAAAAGGCAATGTCACTGTCTGTTGAATATAAAGCGACAGCCAGCACCCAGTTTGCTTAGCTTAGCATAAAGGCTAGAAGCTGGAAGACATAACTAGCTGGCTCTTTCCAAAAGTGATCAAATCCACAAACCAAACCTCTGAAGCTCTGACAAATAAATACCTTCTTGTTTGTTGAATCTGTTGAGGTTTAGAGGGGACGCATTCTACAAGTTTTTATACTATGCTAAGCTAACAGATGGCTAAATGTCACATTTTTAATTTTGGGGCTTTTTATGCCTTTATTTAGAGATAGGACAGTGGATAGAGTCAGAAATCGGGAAGAGAGGGAGAGAGAGTGGGGAATGGCATGTGGGAAAGGAGCCTTAAGTCAGATCCAAACCCGGGTCACCTGCTTGGAGGACTATAGCCTACATACATGGGGTGAGCGCACTAACCACTAGGCTACCGGCACCCCTGGATGTCGCTTTTTAACCGAACAGAGGAGAAATTGGTGTCAATCTTTTTATCTAACTTTCTACTAGAATGTGAAGAAGGATATTCAGCAAATGTGAAGATATTCCTTCAACACTGTGTTGCTAATTTTTTTTTTTCTTCATCTCATGAGACTACAGCATAAAATAAGATGTTTAGGTCCAGGCCGAGCCCTGTCTATGGGAAGAATCTGCCTGTAAGGCATGGTCACTTCCCATCCTTCTCTCCAGCCTGCTGTGTGCTAGAGCATTGAATTAGAGACCAGTTAAGGCAGTGGATTGTAACTAGATAAAAGAGGAGAGTGGAGAGGAGGAATGCAGAGGGCTGCCTTGGTGTCCTATAAATGACATTGTAATTCTCTGAACATGGGTTTTAGTGTAGTCAGCCACCATTAGGGGAAGAGGGAAGAAGGGAGGTATTTTTGCCACTTTACCCAGCCAAGCATCTCTAATGGTGAGTGTGTGTGTGTGTGTGTGTGTGTGTGTGTGTGTGTGTGTGTGTGTGTGTGTGTGTGTGTGTGTATATAGTCCACTCTGTCTGAAAGACTCCCTCTGCCCCTATTCCCGTCTGCTCACTCACACAGCCAGAGACAAAGCCTTTACAGTGATGGCAGAAAACCAGAGTTAGCACTTGCAGCTATACTGTGTCAGGAGATCATCAGCACTATTCTTTCTGTCTGATTTAAATGTTCCCTTTTCTTTATGCTCCAATAAGCTGTCAACTCCTATCTTTTATCACATCATGGCTATTGTACACAGTACCCCGTATAACTAAAGAAATTACTTGAAAGCATTCACATGTAATGAACTGGAAGAAGTGAAGGCTGAGTGAGAAAAGCATCTTTGGTGAATGAGAGGGACTGTGTTTAGAATATTTCCTCTTAGATGTCAGGTTAGCACATGCAAATAACAGATCAAAAGCGCAATTAGGACATCAGTCCATCATAAAGTTAAGCAGCAGAACCCCAGAGAGTGTCCCAGTCTGATTTGTAAAATCCTCTGCTGCGTAAACCAACCTGAGAGACTGCCGCTTCGCTCTGAGCTGTTGTGAGAGCTGGTGGTGCTGAAATCTTGTGATTGGTTGTGTGGGATTCTATTAGACAATCCATCGGCCAATCGGTAGTCAGGAATGAAAAGGAGGGCTACAGTGGGGGTTAAAGGGCAAAAATCACAGTGGCATCAGGTGACTGGCAGTTAGCACAAGCACATGCAAACATGCAGTTAGAGCATAAAGCAAGCAGGATATATTCAGGGTTCAAACATTCAACGAGGTGCATATGGGAAACTTCTCTTTGACCTTTTTTATATTTTTATGCACAAGACAAAACAGTCGTTAAGAACTTCTGGTTTGTTGTCGATTTAAATAAATATATGCTATCATCAGCAAAACTTTATTTTCATGAAAATGAAGATATATTGTTTCCCCTTGAGAGCTTTTCAACTTTAAAAAATAAATTTATGCCAGGGAACATTAGAAGAGGATTTTCTTCTAAAGAGCAAATGCACATCAGAGACAATGCAAAATCTATTACGAATTTGTTTTAGACCGTTGGAAAATAAGATCATCAATATATAATACAAACACAGCCAAAAAACATTCACTACACCTTAAGTATGAAACTCCTCTTGGCTTTGATTAACCCTGCATCAAATCCACAGTAATTCATTTGGATTATTTTTTTCGTAATTTGAGTCAAGATAAAAAGGATTAGCAATTACTCTGAAAATGAAGGAGGAGTGATGCAGACATGGAAACCCAGCAAGAAATAGATGAATGACTTAACTGCACCCCTTATTCATTCATGATGCGTTTATTCAACCTTGGAGAGTAACCAAGATGATGTCATCTGGGGGGGAATTACTCTTTTTAAGACAACTCCCCCAAACCACAGCAGGTTTGGAAAGGCTTCAGAGGCCTTTGATGGGAAAGTTTAAATTCCAAATAAAGGTCTTTTTAGAACTGTACATTTTTGGCTTGTGATCTATCTACTTTGTCTTTGATGTTGCAGGATGAGGATTATCTTTTGGGGACTCGATTATACATACATCTAAAAACATTTGATGGACCTCACACAGAAGGGCAACAGGTGCCTACAAATTGCCTTGAGAACATTTACTTTTATGTCTGACTTACTGTTGTTGCATGAGTTCTTGTCAGGCAGGGAGTAGCCCAAGCTGGCCATCTCCTGCTTGGCCTGGAGTGAGGCCTTCCACTGAGCCTCGGGCAGATCCACAGCCAGTTCGTGGATACTGCTGGAGTGGAGAATCTGGGTGGTGGCGTAGGGAGTGGCTTGGGATGTCTGACCAGGGCTGTTGTAGTTGGCTTTGGTGGTGAAGTCTATGCTGCTGTAGATGGCTCCATCAGATAGCATGGTGCCTGTTTTATCCCCTTGACCAGAGGGGAGATCTGGAAAGGGGAGGGAGGAGGGTGGTTAGAGGGCATGTGTCTTCTAAAATACATATTCAGCATAATTGTAACCATAGCAATTAAATACAACTTGTGGTTTGGTTTTGATGTAGACAAAGAGGACTATCCCTCTTGGTTTTGTTCATTTGAGTACAGTTCAGAGCGTATACAGTTGAACTTAACAGGTTCATCCCATTAAAAAAAAAAAAAGCAACCCAGTTATCATATATAGCTTCTCTTGAAGAAGTGTGAATATCTCAGTCTCCTCCCTCCTCTGTTCACATACGTACATAATGAATAATGCTGTTGCTCCACTTGTGTGTGTTTGTTGGAGGAGGAGGGGAGGGAGGGAGAGAGAGAGCCAGGGAAAGAGCTAGCAGACTCCCTCTGCAGTGCATGGCTTGCATGCCCAGTGAAGGGTAGATGATGTAGAGCCGTGGCGGAAGTGTCCGCATCTGCGCCAGTCAAGCTGCGCCTGTCCTTCACGACTGGCTGCTCAGGACCATCCTTTCAAAAACCCATCCACCCCCTGCTCCTCTGCCTCCTCTGCCCGTCTCCTCTCACATTCTCTTGCTGTGAGGTATGGGCTATGACACCAAGCTGGACTATTTGCCATTACTCAGACTGGTGACAGCAGAGGCCCTGCTGTTAATGTTCTAGCTGTCCTCTGATGTGATATATATATATATATACCCAAACACACATGTGATATGCATATATGTATACATCATGCATGCATAAATATACATGATTAACAACAGGAGATGTTGTAGAACAGAGAGGAACGCAGGCCATCATCTTTCATCTTTATTGTCTCTTTATCAAAGCCTAAAGGACAGCATTAGGGCGCTCACCTCCTCGGCTGAAGTTACTCAGGTCATTTGGTCCCCCGGAACTGCTGTTGACAGGCAGGCTGGTGGCCGGCCAAGAGTCCGCTAACCAGGGGTAACCTGGGTCACTGGAATTAAGCAGGCCCGGCCGGCTAGGCAGAAACACAGGATGAAAAGCTACATTACACATAGGCTGTGAAATTACATTATTATCAGACCTTCATGTGAAAAACATTTCCAGTTACTTAGTATGCATAGTCTTATCCACATTATGTTGGATTTAGAAATAATGAATACAAACATGACAGTAATCAGCAGTGAGACAATGGAAGGACAAAAAAATCAAACAAATGTTTAAATGTAAGAATGTGCACTAGAATGTGTGTTTGTGTGAGATAAGGCTGCTTTAAGCAACAGACGCTAATGAAAGTATTCAGAGATAGGGGGAAATACTGTACGGATATATTCCTTCTCCTGCAAAGTTGAAATTCCTTCAGGCAAATGCAGGCCTTTATCTCTCTGTTCCTCCTGCTGTGTCTTTGTCACATTCCCTGAGTTATTAATGCAATATCACACTTTGCAGACACTAATGCATTCATTTGCTCTCTGCACACATGTACAGCATTACACAAGGACACCCACATGTGCATGTTTCCTTATCCATTAATTTCCTGTGCATTCTGCTGTGTTTTCCCATCAACCCCTTGTGGTGATGTCCAGACAATCTAAATCTCATCTGATGAGACGTCAAACGTCGGCCACAGACCCAACATGTTGCCCCGACCCACTTGTGGGATGCCTGTACAGTATGTGGGCGAGGGCAGCTCCATTTAACAGGTGTTGTGTCCCTCCTGAGAGGGTGAGACCCATAAAAAGCAGCCATTAAGACTTTAACCTGCCATGGGTGACTGCTGGGAGGCCATTAGGGCCACTTTGCTGTACAATCACGTCTCAGGCTCGTTACCATGGGTAACACAGATGGAGTTAAATGAGAATGAGATGGAGCTAAATGCCTTTTTATGTGTCACTTTGTTGACACATCACACTGTGCTTGTTATCAACGATTTTACCTTCAAATGCATACAAAAAACAGAATTTTCAATAACATCTAAGAATGTACAATAAGTAGTAAACGTCAGCAGAGGATGGATAGAAAATTAACAAATTTTAAGCATAAAAAACCCTGTCAAGTGAAATGTTGACAGTGCCTTTTGAAAAGTTCCCCTGAAAATCAGTCCCTGCAACTGGAAGTCAAACACCACATGTGATGAAGGGGATGACATCCACCCAGCAAACAGAGCAGAGTTGAATGTAGCTGCTTACAGACACACATGTGCATCCTGAGAAGCTGCAGAACTCCGTAGTAAGCAGCCAGGCTGTGTCTTAGCTCCAGTGGTGTGTCGTGTTGCCTTTGAGGCACCGGGTAAGATTCAAGCCCTGAAGACAGGGACAGGTAATGGGTGTGCTTCAGTCAGCCTCTCACTAAGCCACAGGTTCTAATGAGAAGAGCTAGGGGGTGGGGGTGTGCAGGGGGGGGTATGAACTGCAGCCCTGGCAAGCTTAGAACCCTCGCTGTGGTTCCTGAATGCCAAAACAGGCCCTCGGGGGAGACAAGTCATTCAAATTGATGGCTGTGCATCAGACAGATGCACTTTTATAGGCTAATACATCTCTCCTGCCCTTCCTACCTCTGTTTGTGGCTGCCATGTTCCCCCACTGCCATCAGGCTCTCTCACCACACCATATTTTACTTACACTGTTTTCCCTTATTTATACATCATACCCGTTTGCCTAATTTTTCTATCCATCCTCTCTACCTCTAGTTTGTAAGGTATCTACCAAGTAAAAAAAAAAATCCATAGTAATAAACCACGCCTTTGTCTCACTTGTCCTGTGTGCACCACCAAGTCCTCACCAAGCCCACTAAAGAAAGACCATTTAAAAGACACAGAGCTGACAGTGGAGCTGACAGCGGCTGCATTGTCCTTGTATTTATAACACAGTTTTCGAGGTTAGGATAACTAGAATAAGACTGATTCCTATATTGGGTATTTTTTCTAAGTACATATGTGTGTCACTGTTTGTGTTAGAGTGTGTGTGAAATGGTTTAGTAATGGGTAGCAGTTGAGGGATGGACACCAGGACATACTTCTAATGAAAAGTCAACACATAACTTTTAATCCCTGGCCATCCTAGGATGGATGGCAACCTTGGCAGATAAAATTTGATTTGGAGCGTTTCCTCTCCCTGTTAGACACTTCAGTTACTTGTGATGGGTAGGAAACCATAAATACTGCCCAAGATGCCTGACACTGAGCCTCCTATAAATAAGCCCAGTGAGAGATATTAATTCCAGAGCAACTTCATAAATCACTTCATGTTTATGGTCCCACATACCAGTGAATAGAACTTGGATAAATCTAGACATTAGCTAACACTCAAGCATTGGGAAACAGATTACTTCCTGGATCAACTCTCAGGCAACATACGATCATTTAGCATTCAGATCCAGGGACCTAAAGGAATCTCCATAGCAACAGTGTCAGTGAAACCTGTTCACTGCCCATGCTTCCCGCCAATAGGAGAGAATCTGCTTTGCTAAAATATTGATCAGTGCCAGGATAGGAAGTTATTACTACCTCCTAATTACCATCTCCCTATTGGCAGGGGGATAAGGAATGAGCCCTTATCGGCTTTTATCAATTTCAATTGAGCAGCCAAGTCAAGTCGTGCAGGTCTACCAATCTGCAGCCTATTCATCTTCCATGAATCATTTATTTTGTGATCGATTAAGTGTAATTGTTCAGTCAGGGCAATTTGGTAGGAGCCAATGAGAAAGTGGAAACAGACGTGGCTTCATTTGCTATTGTCTAATTAATGCAATAAACATCTCATGTAACAAATGAACACATTTTCCTCTGATACCCTGCTGCACATTTCCACTTTCAGGGCAGATGGGCAAGTTGCAACATCTGGGATTTGATGGCACCAGAGTGACTAACAGATCAGAGGCTCTGGTTGGAATATGAGTTTCAGAATGCATCCTTTTTCAGTGTTGTGGAAATTGTGGCAGTCGGTACTACCGACTAAAGATATGACAAATATAGAGCACCAAAAATACAGACATTTCAAATCCCATTCGCTGGAGTGAGAATCCGAACCACTTATGTGGAAAATTGAAGGAAAAACACTACAGCAGAAAGTAGATGAGAAAAGGCTTGGCAAGTGGCGTGGCTAATTTATTGAGAGCGTGCTGGAAGCTCACAGAACAATATCGGAAAATTCTCCGTTCTGGCATTCAGTCATACCCAGACAGTAAGGGAAGAAAATGGCAGAAAAAAAATAAAAAAGCATAAATAAAAAAGCTGAACAGACAGATTCCCAAAAGGCCAGAGACACACAGGGTCAGATTCAGTTGGCAATCTCTCGCTGAGTGTTTGAGCTCTGGAGGCTTTACGTAGTCAGGTGTGATAAGCAGTCGGTAGACAGAAGCCCAGGATTCTCAAGGGACTTTCTTGAATACCCACAAAGGCTCAGTAACTGGTGTCATTGAGATGTGCCCTATTCTCTGTAGCCCCTCTCGCTGTCACCAACACACACTGACACAGAGCAGGCTGTATGGGGGTGCAAGTGGGGTACCTCCACACACATCTATCCCCTGGGTAATTATTTTTACATTATTACATGTGCTCAGATCTCAGCCGCCCACGCAAGGTGACAGGCAAATTTATCACTCCGGAGGGCTTCTGGGTTGCCTGTAGCCAGCAGCAGAAGATAAATGACAAAATAAAAGCACTCTCTGCTTAAATTGTTTCTGTTAATTCTGTTGAGGAGATTTATGAGTTCATCTATCGATGCATGAACAGAGATGTGGAAGAAATGTATATTTGCACTCCAGTTTGCATGGCAGGCACACAAACATACCGTATATTGCTTATCTATCTATCAGTCATTTATCAGGGTTATAATCAAATGCATCTTACTGGAGAGTTATTGCTCGACTCAGGAGGAAAGGTTGTGTTAAATTGTGTTAAGATCCAGTCACAGAGGATGAAATCATAAAGATTGAAGTTTTGTATTTGCTTAGGTTATTACGCTCAATAAATGATGGCTGTTGTGTTGTTGGTGGGAAACTCACCTTCCATTGCTCATCAGACCACCATCGACCCTCTGGAATGTCACTAAAGTCAGAGAAGAAAGAGAGAAGAAAGGGACAAAGCCAGATCTTAAGTTTTATTAACAGTTTACATAGCAAACAAACAGGATCTTTTCCACAGTTAATAAAGGATCGATGTCTTTTCAGTACTGTCCAGTTTGTCCTTGTGCTGCAACACTAATATTTCATCTGTTCTTTTTTTTCTCACACAGCCAGACAGTTGATGGAAAAATAAGGGATGCAGATGTCCCCACTGCGTCCAATGCCTTTGATGAAAATTAAAAAAAGAAGTGCAATGATGAGGATTAGATATTGCTTGGCTTTGCATAAGTGGAGACGTCATGTGTTCCTCAAGGACAAGATGCCTTATGAGAGGCAAAACTCATTTCATCTTTCTTATTTTGCAGCAGAGTTATTATCAGATTTGTGATTAAATCTCAGCCCAAAAATGATTAGAAAAGGCAGAGGGCTCATTAATCACGTGGAGTTCTCTATCTGAAAGCGTTGAGGCTGAGTTACTGATCCTTCAGCAAGCAAGGCTCCCCAGAAGCCATACATGTGGCCTGTTCCATTACAGTGATCTATAGATAACAAGGGCCGCTCTTTGTCAGTGGCTAGTAAAACTCTGTGGCTCACAGAGAGAGACGGCTGTGAAGGATCCATTTCATCTCTGCTCAGTGACCATGATGACAAAGCAGCATCAAGACTTCTAAGCATGTAAGATCTTCAATGGATCACACAGGAAACACAGAAAAGCATCAAGTTTTGGAAATCACCTCATGCCGATGAGAGGAAAAAAAGAAAGGAGGGAAAAAAAGAGAGCTGGTTTTACCCGAGAGAGAGAAGGAGAGCTGTTAGTAATTTGGCTCATTTGTTCCACAGATGGAGATTAAAGAGAGAAGGAGGCTGAACATTCCTCCTCTCTTTTCTGTTTCATTCAGGTTGATTCCACAACAAGCCCAGGCATGGACCAGAGAGGGGGCTTTTCTGTGGCTGATGTAGTAACGTACATGACAGGGAGAGGAAAACTCCCACAATTTAATGCATCATCAACATTACCTAAGCATACTTAATCCAATTTTCTCTCCTGGGAAAATATTGTAGGATTTTATCAAGAGAAACACAGTTTGAATTTGTCTGGAGTTGCTTGTCAGAACAGTTTACAGTTTATTTGCAGCATTAAGGAACTGAAATGCAGCAAATGGAGTTGGAATCTTGCTACTAAAAAAGTTTGATATGATACCAACATTGCAGGTCTGTCTGAATTATATATGGCTTTGAGACAGTTTGAGACAGAGTTGGCATTCCTTTTTTTTCAGGCAAAGCTAAAGTTGATTCTCTTTGTTCCACCAGCAACAAACTTGCATTAGAGTATTTTCTGTCGTTTGAGGGAGACGACTGACGGAAGGAGGAGGTGGAGGCGAGGGGGGGCTGTGCAGCGGGAAGGCCTCTGAAGTCCCTATCTGTGCTCAGGCACATTTCTGGGTTGCTGTGAAACACTTTCATGTTAGCCAGAGTGACATGGCGGCATTGCTGTGCTTCTCGCCTCCGTCTTCCAGATAAGCACTTTCTCCAATATGAATACAGATTAATCCCTTTTAATAAGCATTAAGGGGGGAGAGGGGGGTGTGGACGTAATCAGCATATAAAAATTCCATCAAATATCTTTCCTGCTGGCCGTGTGCCTTAACAGTGTGCTGATTTACCTCTCCTGCCCTGACAGCTTTAGGGGACTGAGATAGGACACTCTCGATACATCAACTAATTGTCAATACAGGGAAGAGCAGCGCTGTAGGACTCTTCAGACAAACTCTGGCTCATGTTCTAAATATCACCTCACGCTAATGTTATAATCTCTCCTATACGTGACCTTATTATGTGTTTGCCCCTTAAAACTTGGGTGAGATAACATTTGTCCTTTCTGGCTTCTCTAAAGTGTAATTCATATTTTGAAGCTGATGTTCCATTAAGATATTAGTGTTTCCTACTTCCTGTTGATCCAAAAAGGTCACTGTAAATTGGGTTTTTGGCTGAAGATCCAGAGGGAGGACGTAGCTATATTTATATTTTACCAAAACATGTTCCTGTTTAAGTTAGTCAGTAAATTCAGAGGAAGGGGCTGTAACTTTTTACCCCAGTGTCTTTGAGATGCTACTCTCCATTGAGTCCACTCAAACCACAGAGTGTAAGACATACTGTAACAGTTCCTCTAAAGTCTTCTTATCAAGAATCATAGCCTGGCTAGTTGAATATAATCACAGTAGTGGGGGATATTGTCACGATAAAAAAACACATGACCTAAATTGAAGAAAAAGGGGAAAGAATTCATCAGACAGCTGCCTTAAAGACACCTACGGAGAACAAACAGGGACAATACAACAGGATCTGAGACTTAAAAAGAAAAAAAAAAGAATGAGATCATTAGATGAAGAGAGGACAGGCTTACCCTCTACCACTGCCACCAAAGAAAGGTACACGAGACAGGATGAAACTACATTCAAACCAGGGGCCACAACAAACATACACAGAAATACAACACAAAATGTAAAGGAAGCTGCAGGTTTGGCAGGAATAAGGAGCTTAAGTTTGTAGGGCTCTGGTCATGGCCAATAGCAAATCCAGATTTTTTCAGTTGTTTATCGGTTATGTTGGCATTATGGCTATGAAGTTAAGATCAGTATAAGCCATGACCATAAGTCTGACAGTCCAAGCATATATACTGATAGCGGGCAGGAGATGAATCTGCGTAGAGGTGGGGTGAGGAGACAGGACAAATGAACAGTACCTGCAGGGGTGAAGGTGAAGGACTGAACTGCAAAACAAGAAGACAGAGAAGTTGTGCGTTAAAAGCCTGCAGAGATAAGCGGTGCTTTAGGGGTGTCGGCACACTGGGCACGTTGTCAAGCCAAGAGATGGTGAGGGTCATTACATGTATGACCTCATCGCCACCCAGCGTGCAGAGCTTCAGCCAGGAAAAGCAGCCAGCTCAGAGGCCACAAAGGTGTAGAAATGGTGGCAAAACAACAAAGAAAACACACAAACACATAAACGTAACAAACAAGAAATGAAGAGCCAATTATTCAAACCAGAAGAGCAAAATACTGCGCATGCTCTTTTGTGCAAAAATGCTTAAAATAACAAGAAAACAAATGCTACATGACTTTGTTTCACTTAAATTCTGCTTTTTAATAAGGCAAAAAGTGATTTAGGAAATATGTGTAACACTGACTGCAGTGCTTATCTGTGTTCGCTCATTACCATTCTCTGCTCTCTAATTAAATCCTGTACACTTGGCAGTGTATGTGGACTTGGTGGTTGCTCATATTGACCAGGGAGTCACTTAGTAAGATGTTAGGTTCAGTGCGTGGGAGGTGAGCTGAACCAACTCCAGCCTCAGTGACCAGAAGAGAGTCCAGCCTGCCCACTCAGATCAGCCCACCCTGGGCTATTAACCAAAACTGTGGGTGGATCTGTCAAAAAGTGTAGCCTTCTGGAATGAAGTCACATTGACATCTGTCCGCCTGTTGAGCTTTAACAGCCACCGCAACCAACTGCTAGCAGCTTCTAAACTAAAAATAAAACAAGTGTACTGATTGAGAATAAAGTATGATAAGTAAGTTGAAAAAACTATCTTTCTTCGACTAGGAAAAAAAAAAGAATGTTCCTTGTTTTCTAAAGCAGCACAGCAGAATATCAGAGTAAATTTAGCATTAGTGACTAAGAGACTTTGCTCAGGCTAACCTGCGTAGTTGCTCAGACCCTTTCTCTTCTTTCTTCTCCAGTAGAGCCAGATGCTGAAGCCCATGAGGATGACCCAGCAGGCCCCACCAATACCGGCAATAAAAGCAGGCTGTTTCACCACATCAGTAATCTGCTCTGTGATGCTGTTGTTCCGGTTCCCATGTATAATCACGTCCCGGAACTCCTTACCTGAGGGCACAGGGATAAACAGGCAACATTAGTGTGATGCTGGTGGATACTTCCTGGAGAGAAACAATGATATAATAATGTAGTTGTGGTCGATATGCTGCTTCAAGGTGAAAGCTATCATATGTGCCTGTGAAATACACAAGGGCTTGAGAATGTCCCACTTTTTCATTGTGAAGAAATAACACCTACAGACACATCAAGAAAGGGTTAGTGCTAGATTAAGCTCAAAGAAGGAAGATATGATGAATTTCAGCTGAGATATTGACCAAGGGAGCAGGACATAGATCCAAAGGATGTGCAGTGAAACATAATGTACAGACTGAAAAAGGACAAAGCCTAAAAGCTTACAACAAACCCCCAGGTGAACAGGTTGTTTGCTTAGCTCAGGTCCTAATTCACTCTGTTGCCGATAAAACACACCATGTGAAATGAGAGGCGAGGATACCGGTCTGTATTGATCTCCAATGGCAGCTCACCCTGCCTTCTCTACTTGACACTATTTCATGGAGCGTGATAAGACTCTAAGCACAAACAACTGTTCCCACAATCTGACAGGAACAAATACACACTCATAAAGATAAACACACGCATATAATATGCGTTGTGTATTCATGTAAAATTGCAAATGTGCTCTGAATTTACTTTTATTACTATGTTGCCACAAGAAATACACACCCATTTCCACATCCACAGACAAGCAAACGCACAACATGTTATATCAGCAGGCTCGGGGCTCTGCTCTCGGAGATGGATTATGTGAGTGACACTGGGGAAATAAGAACATGCTACAGGCCAAGCCATCAGTTATGGGTCAAATCAGGCACAATTTGCCCCAGCTCCACATAAATCATATGTGGTCAGGACACATATCAAAAAAGGAGTATTTTAACCATATTATTCATTTTACACTTCCTAGTCTTCAATGGAAACACTGACACGTTTTGTTCTTTAGCCTCAATCGTCCACTAACAATGAAATACAAACACTGGTTGTCTACACCTGGAAGAAGTGGAACGCAATATTAAAAAAGTTTTGAATGTTTTCATCAACGAAACTCACCGATGATAATAGACTGAGGTTCACTCTTGACTCCAACCCCGGCACTTGTGCTTGCAGCCACCTCCACCCGGTACACCACGCCTACCTGCAGCCCGCCCACCACCACTGAACGTATGGCTGCATCCACTGTCTTATTTACATGGAAACGTGTCTCATTCCCCAGACACCAGATCTAAAGCAGAGAAGAAGAAAAACAGAGAGGACATTGATTCCATCTGGCTTAGTGTAAGTTAGATGAGAATCCTGGTTGAGGATTGCTTGCTGCGACAAACCTTGTACTCCTGGATAATGCCGTTCTGGTGGTCTGGTGGAGGAGGGTCCCAGGAAATGCTAATTGAAGTGCTGTTCTGGTTTCCCACAGTCAGGACTGTTACCTGCTGAGGAGGGGCACTTGGAGCTGAAAAAGGGAGGCACAAAAACTGGTCAACATTTACATTTACTTTTCGTGCAGCAGAGTAGTTTTACACTTAGAGAAACGAATACCTGCCCTGCAGTGTAGTACATCTGAATGTAAATCTGTACACACAAATGCACACACACATAAACAGACCCACACTTTTTCAAAGAATGTTATTCTTCAGGAATAGCATAGGTGGCTGAGGGCTGTCAAAATGTCTCATTAGAGGGGGATTTACATGAAGACCAAGACAGGTCTGACATGGCTATAACCTGTCTTTAGAGCTTCCTATGATTTAATATCTCATCCTCTGCTACAGCCCGGTGGATTTGCTCAGAGAATACTGCTATTGATTTGTGGAATGGGGCCTGGCACAGTAAAGCAAGGGCTCTCAGTCAAACTAAGACTCCCTCACTGGCCGAGCCAGGGTGGCATGAGGGTCAACAAGCTTATAGGATGAGTCGCAGACGAGAAGCAAACATGAAAAAAATACATTTAAGATGAAGGAAACATAGTCTGAGTCAACTAATTGACTGATTTCAACGATCAGCCAGATGAAACTAAAGCCAGTAGGTAAGGATCAGGAAGAAGCTTCAGAGTAAGGCACAACTAAATGAATCGGCTCCATCCACAGGCATACAGATAGAAACAAGACAAGTCCAAGCTTTCATACACCTTACTCTGTTGTTATTCTGATGGCAACAATATTCTGACCCCACAAGGGGTAACCGAGGAAAAATAAATAACAGTTGGCCCAACTGGAAATAACGTTTTAAAAATAATGTTTTCTCATTTCCGCAGTGGCTGGCAGGGGAGCGGCACCACAGCAGAATACTGACAGGTCAATTACTCCTGGGCTGCCTCTCCCTCACCTCGCCGCCATCCAAAATGGCACGTGTCACCCTGTAAATCTGTGCTCATCCCTCAGCGCGATTGGCCACACCGGCCCCCAGAGAGCCAGGAGGCCCTGGCATGGTGAAAGATGAATGGGTCCAATGATGAACCCAACACCTTGGCCAGATTAGAAACAATCTACCAACGGAGCATCTGATCAACCATCATGCTAAAGGCTCTCCAACTGTGCATTACATCCAGGTGACAAAGTGCTGGAATGGTGCGTGGCAGCCATCACAGGCAATGTCGTTCAAAGTTAATGTTATGAATGATTTAGCAGCTTATTATCATGCATATTTGGACTAAACAATTCACATTTTTCATTAGAGGCCTGGGAGGCTGTACTAATAGAGCCATTAGCAGAATGATGTATGGCAGGCAGGAATTTGACCCCCTGTCTCTCATGCACACATAGCGGTGCGCTGCACGGTGAAGGAATACAAACATGTCATATCCACACACAAAGGAGGCCAATAACTAACACAAAGCAGTGGGTGGGGAGGGAGGAAACCTGTGGACCCTCCCCAGAGATATCCATCAACATGATTGTAGATTAATCTAAAATAAACAAACATTTATACAAACGTCACTTGCTTCCCTCCCTTGTTTTACATTAAAGATGAATTTTAGAGCAACATTTAGCAAGACTAAGATGGCAACTAGAGTGTATTTGACTGTCCAGATGGAGAGAAAGAGAGAGATATGTGAAAAAGGAGAAGGAAGACAAAGACGGACACAGCATTGGCTGATCTTACTGTAAGCAGGCATCCGTCTGCACCTGCTCTCGGGATTCTCTAATTGTGTTAGCTAATGGACTACCTTAGTTTTAATCACCCTCTAAACGGGACTTCTCTATCCATCTCCCTGCCCTTCTCAGTAGTCCCAGGGTCTCTGAGGAGCCTAGAGCTGTGTGTCTGAAGGTGTATCAGCTATGACCAGGCACAGCGGCGCGGTTCTAACAGAAATAGCAAGGGGTCACTGCACACTGAGGGACCGGGATGCAGATAGAGCAGAAGCAGGGAGCGTTATCAGCATTTGTAATTGCTGGGGCATGCAGATTCTGAAGGCCAGGTGTTGTGCATGGATGTACGTGTGTACTGTATGTGTGTGAGAGTGTGTTTTTGGACAGCTGTAACAGGATGGCAGCTTCACAACAGCAGTGTGCAGACTGGCTGGCCACGGGAGATACGGTCCCTCTGAGGAAGGGAAAATAGATGGGCCTGTCACACAGACAGGATGTGAACTGTCTCCTATACATGCAGGCCTAAATATGTTGTGGCAAGATGGACTTTGTCTCCAGTATGAAAGGTCTGTGTTTGTCTTTTTGTACGCGTACACTGTCTTTCTTTACTTCATATCAACTCATTGTTTAAATTTCAGCTCTTAGACTTGAAAGCTGAAGTGAGGCTGCTTCTGTGAAGGTTGGATGAATTTAGGCTTTCGTACAGGTCAAAAAGTAAATTCATTCAAAACCAGACCTGTGTGTGTGTGGCATGTTGGTTTGTGTGTGTGTGTGTGGGGGGGGAGTATGTTTTTGTGCCACATAGCCTTGTCAGAGCCTGTCTGAATCAAGCTTTGGGCGACAGATCATATTCGCAAGAGGAAGTGTGTGCTGCGTCCAATCACAGCTCAGGCCTGTGGCTGCTGGGTGATGGATTAGAGGAAGGTTGGCACTAACACTCCCAATCATAAACAAAAAAAGCACAGCAGGAAGGACAGAGAGACAGGCAAAAACATGCTTGCACTCACACATGCATTCACACATATACCCTGCCTCGCCTGTGAAACTCTGACCAAAAACACCTTGAAAGCGTTTGTAACCGGTCATTCTTTGTTCTTGTGATATACATCTACTGTGGTTTGTCTGACTCTGACATATTGTACCTAATACAATCTTAAAAAACACACGTTCTTCATACCTTCTTCAGTTGTGCGAGATGTTCTTGATTCACTGTCCATGCCTTGGAACTCGTTGAAATAAGGGCGAACTTTGATCTCATACACAATGCCCTTTTTCAGCGAGGACAGGACAACACTGCGTTCAGAAGGGACCTTAACATCCTGCATCTGCCAGGGTCCTGGTGAGGGGAGTCCGGAGGTCTGCCTGTACAGAACTCTGTAACCCTGGATGAACTGGGACTGCCGATCCACCTGAGAAAGTGAATGAAACAAGATCATAGATACATATTTATCAGTGTAAAAATACCTCTATAGAGGAGACTGGGAGATGTTACCTTGGCCCAGCCACTAGACAATATGAAAGGACATGTTTAGGAAATGTGTTTACTCCTAATACAGGATTGGATTCATGACACTTTCAAAGCTGTTACTGGTTTAATGGGCCCTTCATCACCAGCTATATGACACACTTAGCTCAATTAACAGCCTGACATTACCTCATACAACCAAGTCCCAGCCAAAGTGCTCCCTCTATTAAAAAACACTCTGTAATGCCAACTTAAAGGACATATGCATGTCTCATATGTATAATGAATACTAACTAGTAGTCCTGGAAATCAGGTCCTGGCACATTTAGGATGGACTATGAGTACGAGAATGTCATGCTGCTGCCAATGCAGACGCCCCGGGGACATTAGGAGAAAACACAGCGAAGGCTTTAACAGCAGATCTGTCCCATAGAAAAGATGGACAGACTAGAAGTGTTATGCATCCCACAGAGGCCCCCTCACTTAAAACTTGGGCCCATTTAAGCAGACAGAAAAAGCTGAATTTATGCAGAGCAGAAGCAGGCGCATAACTCACTGTAATGGCTTGTTAACAGTAGAAGAAGTGAGCGGGGCTTTCAAGTGGGATATTAAGCAGCTGTTTTTCTCCAGTGTAGCGTAGAGTAAATCAGCAAAATGGATGTATGACTTTTATTAATGGAAGGATTTGGGAATATAAAAGCTCTCTGAGAGTAGCCCTGCTATTGACTGAAAGGGTCCTTGATTGATTAGGCAGCCACGTTTACATTACGATCATAAAGGAAATGCTTTAACTTTAAATTAGCTACCATGTCTTGGGGTGAGACTTATTACAGGGGTCAATAAACATGTCATCAGGAAAACTGCTAATGTGGTTCATTTGAAAATGGAAAAAGAAAGCCATTGCCACTTAGTGATAGGTGCATACAGTAAATACCTGCACCAGAGTAATTTATATCACACAAATAAACCAGCACATATACTGAGTAAAGACCTTAGCTTTCAATAATATAAAAATGCCTTTTGTCCTTATTACCAAACAATTAAATAAATCCCATTATAGCCATAACTGAAGCTGTGAATCACATGTAGAACTGCCTCATTTAACATAACGTGCTGATTGATGTGGTGAGGCAAACAACACAAAATATGCATAAATACATTAAAGAGCAGCTGTATGTACATTTTTCCATTTATGTGTGTAAAAGAAAAACACTCAACTCATTGTTGTTTAAAAAGAGAAATCAGGAAAACTTATATTCATAAAATGAAGTTTAACCACCGACATTAATTTCAATCAGACAAAGCGAGTGCTTTAAGAGGGAAGCAGATGAAGACTTATGGAAGAATGATGAACAACCAGATGTCTCTGACATCTCTTTTGATTTTCAGTGTGGTTAAGAAGCTATTTCCCTGCTATTTGATCTCCAGATACTGTAAAGTAACCGTTAACAATATTTCAAAGCTGCAGACTTAGGAAACAACCTTTCTGAAATGTCCTTGCATTAAACAAGTGGTAGCCTCGAGGGGCACCTTTCTGGCTTCAAAGAGGGATCGTCTGTATTAACTAGAAGGGTTTTATGAGTCAGTTTGACAAAATCAAAGATGAAAAAGGAAAATGAAGAGATAAGAAAACCAAATATACATCATTCAATTACCCATCAGAATACTTTTGGTATTCAAATGCAAAAATACTGTGCTAATTTTAGGTTAAATAATAATTAAATACAGTAGGGTCCTGTTTGCCATATGACAGTTGCACTTACCGTCCATGTGACCTGAATAGTTGTGGGACTCAAGACAACAGGGTTGTGCAAGCGAACTATCACTTCTCCGAGTTCCTTCTGCACGTGCCTGTGGTCAACACCCTGAGCTGGAGGACTTATATCTGCGAGAGATCAAGAGAGAACATTCAGAAACACAAGATGGGGTCACATTTTGTTCAACTTGGTTTTCACAGTTTACTCTCATATTAAACCTGGCTTCATCACCATCAGAAGTGCAATGGTATAAGAGTGACTGAATAGACAGACTGGTTCACACAAAGAAGCCTACACATAAATATTTTAAAAAGGGAGAAACCCCATCTGCATAAAAATGACCCGAGTCCTTTTTGTTTAATGGCTCTTTTCTGGTTTGAAGAGAAGAAAGGAGACCTGGGCTGACAACATTGTTTTAAATGTGCGACTTGTCTGCACTCCCTGAGTACTGACAGAAAAAACCCTTTCAAAGAATGAACTGTGAATGTGAGACTGAAGATATACTAGCTACAAGATGAATGAACAATCTGACACTAGTTTCAAGCTCATTTCCTATTCTGTGCTTGCATGTGTTTCAAGTTACTAGCAATACAAAACTCCAGAGTATGAGATACTGATTGTGGTTGAATACGCCACATTGTGAGTAATTTACTGAAAGAAAAAAAATGAAATGAAAGAAAAAAAATATAATTCAAAGATCCTTCATTTAGACAACCCAACACAGTCATGAATCTCAAAAACACTAATAGAGTAAGACAGGCCAAACAATGTTAGAAAGAAGTGAAAAGTCAATTAGTCACCAATGCTTGCCATCATCAATAAACATAACCATATATCATCTCAAGACCCTCACCTCACGATGAGAGATTTAATGAAATTCACATTTTTAAAACACATTCTTGGCTTGCATTTGACAAAGCTTGGCCAGATGCTGCTCTTTTTTGGTTGGTGGCAACTTATCATATCGATGTAATCTGGAGTCTGTGCTTCGGTCCGATACCATAATCAAATCTTCTTTGGCTTTAAAGGCAATTATTTTCTCCCATTGTGATCATTAACATAGCAGGGAGCACTAACCCACTTAGGCCTCCCAAAAGTAGAAATTCTAATTTTCCATAATCGCTTAAGTGAGGCTTTAATGAGCTGGGCTGAGATGGAGAATTTGACCTCTGAAAAGTTATGCAGTGTTTCAGTACAGACATTTGAGAGGGGCTGATAAGTATAACACTATGAAGAGGAGCACACTGACCTTACCCTAAAAGCAGGAATAGAATTCTAACACATAAATCAAGTTAAACACATACCAACAGTGATCAAATAGCTATGTTCAATGTCAATCTAATGAGATCTTTTTTTACAATATTGTTACGTAAGGTACCTTGTGTTCTGACAGGTTCAGACATGGGGCTTGGATCGCTCAGGCCCTGGTTGTTGACGGCTCGCACCATGAACAGATAGATTGTGTTGGGACGCAGACCTTTGACGGTAAACTGGGTTGTTTTGATATGATCAGCCACTGTTTGCCAGCTGTTGCTCACGGACTGACTGCAATGCAAAAGAAAGAGAGGAGATGTCTCTCACCCAGTACAACATATGTTTTCCTGCAATCCATAGAATATAATGGTTATGAAATAGTAAGTGAGGAGGTGCAGTTAGTGCGAACCATACCTGAATGCTTCAATGACGAAAGAGGAGACAGGTGATGCTCCAACCATCCCAGGCTGCCAGGATAAGGACACACTGTTCTTGGTGACATCAGTGACCTGAGGTTTAGATGGAGGCCCTGGTAGCTCATTCTCATCATGGTTCTTCACGACCAACACACTACCTGATTCTGAATGGATGGAGACAGCAAAAAAAAGCGTTTCCTTAAGGATAACTACAGCTGACATGTTAAAAATACACATTTTTTCCGTCCATAAACTACATGGAGTCAACACTTGATTTCATACCTTTGACTTCCAAGAAAGCACTCCATGATGTTTCACCACTGGAGCTGGTAGCCACACATGTGTAGATCCCAGAGTCTGAAAGCTGGTATACAGTAGGATACATAAGCATTTATGTATAAAAAAAATAGACACACATACAAACACAGATCTTAATGTCTCCACTAATAACACTTTTAGAGAGAGGGCCTTTTCACCTCACACATTCTGAAAGAAGAAGCAGTGACTGTGTACTTACTATCTTACCGCTGAAAGACTGAAAAGGATGGGCGCGACTTCATGCATGCTCTGGCCAAATTGTGTGTCATTTGTGAGTGCCTCAAAGTGCTGACGCTAATTTCCTAATGAATTCCATTTTCTACTCACCACCCTTCCATCACTTTTCCACTCCCCCTCCTTATTTCCCCACTGTCCTGCCGACCACAACAAAGCTACGCTAATTAATTTAGGGAGGGCCGCTGGAACCCCCTGGACTGATGACAGCTGGCTTGTCTCTCCATCCCTCTTAGGAACTTTGTTTGTTGGTTTTTGTCCCTGCGCCTTCCTTCCATTTATTAAATAACATGTCAGTGGTCGGCAGCTCTGTCAAGCGTAATAGATATTCCACTGAGGCCTCTGAGTGGGGAAAGGAAGATGTGAGCCTTTTAAATTTAATCTACTCTAAATGTGTATGTGTGTACACACGTGTGTGTATATGTCTATAAGTACATACATGTTTCTATGCTACATTTGGAGTCCATCCAATCCTGCACAGCTGAGCCCAGTTGATGCTGCTGTGGCACTAAGTGATACCATCAAACAATTAAAGAAAAAAATCAATGCTGCCTATTCATCTCTTTAAAGACATTATGGTACCTTGCTCATAGAGGTAATGTATAAGCAACATCCAACAGTGTGTTAATCATAACAATGCATATACTGTCACTACAAAGACATCTTAAATTAAGACACATAATCTAAGCTACTTAAACAGCGAGAAGCTTCAAGGGAGCGAACAGCACATCATCAGTTGGTCTCTAGTTCTAGACAAAGCTGTTTGGCATAGCAGTATAATCTGATTAGTTGCTATTTACAACAATAAAAGCACTGGATCCTTTACCTTGATGCTTTTGATCTGCAGGCTGCCCAGCTCCTGCAGAGACATGCGCGAGTCCTTTCCCAGCAGACTGACACCATCCTTCAGCCAGCTGATGGAGGGGATGGGGTCTCCTGACGCCTGGCACTTCAACAGAGCCACACTGTCCACCGCCAGCGTCTGATTGGACGGACCTTGGCGGATGATGGGTGGCGGCCTGTCTGTGAGTACTGCAAAATCATTAAAAAAAAGTTGTGTACTGTTAAGAAGTCTTACTCTAAAAGAAGCTGAGTTACAGCATTGATCATAAAATGATCAAGGGGGTTGATGTGGGTATCCATCATAAAATAGACTATTTTCCCTGCAGGTCTAGTAATTGCACCGCAGAACAATGACCATATCCTGTATTTCCAGGAAGCAGGGAAGGAACAGCTGAGTAGGGTTTTCAAGTTTAATTGATGTGGCAAAGGGATGCTAAGCAGTTTCCAGTTACTGCCTGGGTAGCCTTATTTTTATACACTACTCGAGACTTGTGGTACAGTTTGGTGGTTTGGCTTTTAACTCAGTGTGGTGCAGATAAATACTCCATTATGTGCAGTGTGGGGCACAATGAAAGGTGAACTTCAATTTCTCACTGAAACCACCTCATGATAATCATATAAGGTATAAAACAGAGTGAAGAACACTGTTACTATTAAGAGGAGACACTCCATTTATATTTTGTTCTGGTTTCACTTTGGAGATACGCGATGGATGTGATGAATTTCATTTACATGGGCAAAAGCATTTGTTATAATGTGCCAACAAAAAGCCTGTGGCTTCCTTCAATGAAATAGTGTGGATGTCAGAGGTGATCTCAGAGAGAGTAAGCACTCTTGCACACAGTCAGTTTATATATTTAGAGTTGAATAATGTGGAGTCCCCCTGGCATAGCAGAAGCCACATTAATTAGAAGGTATGGATTAATGATGGCAGACCTGCAGGGGCTAATTACCAAGTCTACCTCAGTAACCTTTCAACACACTATCACACCCTCATTTTCGACCCCTTTTTTCCCTCCAGCTACAACATCTGACAAAAGGAAGTGATTTCAAGTAATACACTTTTGCTCTGTTACATTCAGCCTTTGCTTGAGGTCAGTTATGACAGAAAAAGGAATACTGTGTAGAAACCTGAAGTATGATCTAACAACAGCCAAATATTATACAATTAGATTTCACTTTTGTTTTAGGCTCAAGGATTTTAAATTTGGGGAAATTCAGTCAAATTAATCAAAGGTGAGGTCAGCACATTTTCCAAGAGAGATTCAAACCGTCAACTACCATCCAGGGACCCATCATGCTGTAGTATACCAGAGCTCAACAAACAAGAAACACGAATCTGGGGATTTCTGTCTACTATTACCTTTCCCTAAAGAATCCCAGTTATATAATAAACCAGAACAGGGCATTTTGTTTCACTACTTAATAGCCAGAATTATGCCTTACATCCATATATGCATTTATTTTTAATTGAATTATTCCAGTTTAATATATTTGAGAAAAGCCAGTAAGCGTTGACACTTTTTCACAGAAGCAAGTGAGAAAACACAAGGACTTGAGAGGTCTAGCGATGTGAGTTGTCTGATGTGTGTGTTGATGACATGAACGAGTGACAGAGGGAGGAGGCGAGGCTCAGTGAAGGCCTTGGGTCTCTGGATCAGGAATTTCTCATTACAGATCTCCTTGAACTCCACAGACTGTTGCCAGGGCTCGGGGCAGTAAATCACACAAAGACTGTGGCAGGTGTGGCCATGACCTCAGCCTGGCCCTCCTGTACTCTTTCCTCATCTCGTTCCCTTTTTTGGACATGCCTAGTACCCTTGTCGCAACCATACCCTTGCTGGGGATTCAGTGGAATAATTGATTATTTTTATTATTATTATTATTATTTTTATGATAAAAGAGGCAAATAGACAGCGTTAGCTTAAATGTAACTATATTGTAGTCATGGCTCTTGACAGACATACCAATGTTGGATGTGCAGCAGGAAAATTCTCCTCAGATTTGATGTTGAAAAAAAAAAGTGTTCCTGCAGTGTTTTTAATCTTTCTGCTAGCAGGTACTTCAGCAGACACATGGATGGCCGTCTATCTTTCCATCACAGCAGCTGAGCAGATTAGATGCTCCCACACCTCGCAGGACCACATAATTCATTCCACAGAAAACCACTGTCAGTAACTCACTCAATCATGTCCCCCTTCCCCTCTTTCTCTCTCTGGCTCTTCCTCTCTCTCACACATACTTGCACCTTGCCCACTCACCCAAGCGCTGATCATTAAACTTGAAGGAACTCAAGGGCAACGCTTTATTCCTTTGCAAAAGCAGAAGTAGATGTTTTTAATTGAATTTGTCACTGCAAATACACAGCAACTGAAGGTCATGGGCACACTCACATTTCTCAAATCGAAACTGAATGTATTTCTGCACATGAAATAACAAAAACTAATCCCCTTGTGCTTGTGTATGTAAACTTTCAAGGGTGTTAGAGGCTGAATTACCATTTTAACTCAGCAAAGCAAGGACGTTGTAGCAGTTAAAGGAATAACTGAAACTAAACTAAATTAAAATCAGATGTACACTTTGATAGTTAATATAATGTATTTGTTTAGAGGTGAGGAGGAGAATCAAAAGCTGCATATCAGAAGCATATCTGTTTTTACACCAGTTTAACCACACTTGTAATGGTGCATGATTGGTGCTGGTGTGTTGTATGGTGCTGGCATGTTAAAAGGAACACGTCAGTTTTTCCTCACCATCTGTGACCTCCAGTTGAGCCTTGGCGAGGATACTGCCTGCAACGGTCAGGGCCTGGCAGATATAGTAACCAGCATCTGCCCGCTGCACAGATGAGATGGTGAGGTCTCCGCTGGGCGACACAGAGAAGCGACTGTTGGGCTGCTGGGGTTGGTTTGGAAACAACAAATTCTGCAGGAAGAGGAACAAACGGGCAATTAAAAACAACATGGAACAAGTGTATTCTGGAAAAATGACAGAACAGGCACACACCCAACACCAACTACAAGATCACACAAACTGTGCACACTAACGGAAACACAGATCAGCTACTACTGCAACAACTCATTCTATCACTTGGTCAACCCGCCTCACAAGCTGCCCAACATCAGAATCATTTAATGACTTGGTTTACTACTTATTTGAGCCAAGCCAGAGGATCTACTCTGTTATAAAGTAGACTTTTGCTCGTGTTGGCTTCATGGATATTTTTCCTTCTGAATCAGTTCCACAACTGTTTTAAGCTGCTCTCTCACCCACAAAGCGACCCCCCCCCTCCCCCATCCCCATACAAGTAAGGCCACTGAATATAATATAATTCATCTTAATACAAGCTAGACTAACAGTTAATAAATCCCACACACTCAAAAGTAAATACACAGGATCAGAGGACTAATCATGATGAAAAAAACACACAATCTCTCTACATCTTTTTTTTCATTAGCTATTCATGGGCTCTTTCCTTTTTGTATTCTTTTTCTCTCATGATCACCAAAGGTAACAAGCAAACAAATTAGCAGTATTTAATTATACTTAATCACTTTAGTGCAACAATTCATGTTTTTTTTTTTTAATTATGCTCAGAGCATCTCCAGCACATGAGAGATGTACACTCCATTATCCTCAAGTGTGAGAAAAGGGTCTTTCTGTCATTTAATTGCCACACTGAATTAGCTTTAATTTGTTCTCTCGGCAAATGCCTTCACACCTTTTATACATTAGACATGGAGAACGCAAAGATAAACACAAGGACAGAAACGGGACATGTAACAGCTTGTAACAAAGGTGTTTGTAATGCATTCATTTCAAAGGGCTCATCTTTAATGACAATGTGAGACGCACGCCGGATATAAATCTGCTCTATCAGTACAAGTTCACAACATTACTCAGTGTGGCTGAGTCATATGCTCTGGGTCATTGAGTGGTTAGAGGTAAAGTGGGTGAGAAGTACACCAAATTGTTTGTGTGAACAGGTAAGCATGTGTCTCACTTCTGCTCTCTTTGTGTAAAGAACTATGCTGTAATTGTTGCCCTGCAGGCTTCGTGTGGCTGTGTGTGTGTGTGTGTGTGTGTGTGTGTGTGTGTGTGTGTGTGTGTGTGTGTGTGTGTGTGTGTGTGTGTGTGTGTGTGTGTGTGTGTGTGTGTGTGAACTGTGTGTGTGTGTGTGCGCGTTTGAACCTTAGCCAGAGCTGAATCATATCTCTGGCTCATCTACAAGCCCCAACAGGCTCCTAATTGGCACTGTTGTCTATCGTTGTGAGGACACCCAGGTATTTGAATGGGTTATCTGCTTGAGTGAGGGATAGGATCGTTCTTATCAGTGCAGGGTCACAGGAAACCGATTAACACTTTGCCAGGCACACTGTCATTTGCCGGCTCCTGAGAACAAAAGTGTTTCTGTGTCTGCTGTAAAGATACTGATGACAGATAGTGTACTTTAAAGGGCTGCGTGTAAGTGTATGTGTGTGTTTGTGTGTGTAAGGGAATCATAAATACACAATGCAAAGGGGAACTAAACAAAGTGCTGAGTGTTGATAACATGAGATGCAAAGTAGATAACAACAGCTGCCAACTGAGAGAGCAATATGTTGTGTTCCTTTGTAAGAAATAATGTGAAAAGCAATAAAAAGATAAAACTGTTTGCCACACAATGACTACAGTGAGATTGTTTGCTCTTACCTGACTGCCTTCCTTTTGCCAGAAGACGGCAGGCTGAGGGTTTCCTTTGGTTTCACACGGGAAGGTGGCAGTGCGGCCTTGAGCCACGATTTGGTCCCTTGGGCGGATGACAAACTGAGGAGCAGCTGAAGTCAAAGGGCAAAAACACAAGTGTTAGAAGAGCAGTGGCATAAAGTGAAAGCAAACATCAAAGCTGGAGAGTAACATGGCTCAGGGATCTCAGGCAAAGACAAGCAATAAAGAACACGGTCAAATCAAATAGGAGTGCCGTACAGAGCTTCCATGCAGCCATATTCAAGACTTTTGCTCTTAAAGGCTCTAAACAGAGGGAGAACACCAACAACTATTAAGACAATCTTTGCCATGGTAACCATGGTGGCACATTCATCCAGGTAAAGCTGAGGCTGGATGAATGACAGTCACAATGGCATTCACACAGGGAAGCGCCTTGGTCACAATGGCGTTTAGATCTGAGACAACACGGCACAGCCATGCCTTGGAAACATCCAAACTATGAACAGAAACAGACAAAGAAGGGTTAACCACGCCTGACTTTCCATATGAAAGATTGATTCTGCATCGAAATGCATCTCATAGAAAAGTCAAGATCTGAAGTGGCTCAGTACTTCTGATCAAAGTTGTATCAAAAGGGAGTGAGAGAGAGAAAAGACTATTCCTGTGTTTGCCACACTTGGAGCTCACACCTCTCCATCACAGAGAGAAGCGGCTTGAAAAGCTATCAAACTTTGAAATCGCAGTGTGAAGCTTTCTCAGTCAATATTCACGACTCCATCAGGAGCCGGACCAGTTGTCACACACTCACAGTCGAGACAGAGTGAGACGTTTCTGACTGACAACTTGACGGATGCAGTTCAGTAAAAAGGGAGTTTAGAGAAGTTCTTTTGGTGTTTAGGGTCACCTCTCTGCACTCTGACCATTCGCTGATGGTTGGTTAGAAAGGCAGGATTTCAAATCAGACTCTCCCCAAATGTACACATTTTAAGGCAAAATGACCAATACTTTTTACAGAACAGTACCAAGCAATTACTGATGAATCCCAGTTCATAGTTCTGCTAATAGTTAATTCTAACACCAACAGAGATTATAATATTCTATTATCTGTACCAAGTCTCCTCATGTGGGTGAGATGCATTGTGCACTGCAGCACAGAGACAAAGAAGTAATTTTAACCATATATAGAGTATCCTCACATATATACTCAGTTTCAACATGCTAATCAAACGAGCAAATGCCGAGTATATACATCATTTTCTGGGCTGCAAAAGTAAACCAGATCCCCTAAAATGTCAGAACTTTAATTCGAGATAATTTACTGTTTTTACAAAAATCTCTATTAAGAATTAATTTTTTTTTATTGCCTAGAAAAGACAACTACTACATTTCTCTAAGAGGAGGAAACGTGGTTCTGCAGAGATTATTATTATATTGGAGTCCTTGCTATAACTTCAAGCAGATGCTTTAATGCTTTAATGTAGTATCTGACAGTTATTTTCTTTACTCAAACAATACCAGAAACTGTAAAATGTATAAAGTTTGTTTTAAAAATTATAATGTGACAAAGAACAAATCTGTATTGTTGCAATGCAACATCTTGCACCCTTTTCTGTTTCCTTTGATTTCTTTGTGATCCTTTCACTGACAAGCCAGCTGGTTCCAGTAAGGCGCAACCCTTCCCATTTGGCTGGGTTCTCCATGTAATCCCTTTTTGGTGGTGTGTATTTGTCAAAGATACACACAGTTGGGAATGGTACAGATGGCTACAGATTTGCTGCCTTCCCAGTTGGCCTTCTGCAGCTTGGATATTTCGTGGCTCTCACACAGTGGGTCTGATACAGAGCTCCTAAATCATGCTCTGGCAAGAATTTGACTCTCCCTTTACTTCATCTGCTCTGTTTGATACTTCATAGTGCATTACTAACTAGTTGCTAAAAAAAATGGTTTAACACCTTGCAAGACTGGCCACCAGCACTGCATCCCACCACCTCTTATCTAGTCTCACACCCTCTCTTCATTTTTCCCTCTTCACAGTTCCAAGTCAGCTTTTTTTTTTTTTTTTGCAGAAACGGGGTTCACGTTATTTCAAGTATTCATGAATCTATGAAATGATAAAAGATTAAACAATGTGACATTTTAAAAAATATAATTTTTTGATTGAATGTTTGATTATTTGCAGCTAGATGTCAAGACAGATTTGTTGTTCTGCTAGATTATAAAAAAAATGTAATCAAGAAAGAAATCTAAATCATCTTTATTGTATTGTTAACATATCCGTAACCATTTGTGGTGTAATGATTCCCAAAGTATCTAACTACTGTAAAATCAGCGAACTGAGGAAGACGGTAGGCCTTGCTACCGCACTTGCTCAAATGCCAGAAAAAGTTTGAATTCACCACAATCACAACGTTTTTGTCCACTTTAAAACATGGACAAAGAAATACATGACAAAAATACTTGTGAAAAAAAAAGTAGGTGGGTGGACCTCAAAGAAAGAGTGATTCCTACAGGGAAATATAGATCAAACACTCCAACAAATCAAGAGGAAGTCAGTATGAGATGGTTTCACTGCTTGGCTCAAGGCTAACTCACACTGGCCCTGTTTTGATACAGAAACCCTTATTGACATGTGAGAGGCTCCTTCCTGTCCCCTCCTAAGAAAACAAATGATCAGGTGCCCATATTTAATTCATGACACAGCCACATCTTCCTGGTTGGAAGAGGGCTCGACATGAAACAGAAGTCAGGGTGAAGAGAACAAATGGACAGAGAGACAGGCATTCATTCAGTGCACCAGGCACACAAACTATGAAGAATTTCCCCTCCTTTAAAATCCCACGTTCATCATATTTTATTCACAAGTCGACAGCAATTACTGTCTCTTCCCACAAGCAGAGTGAATGTGTAATTTCCTCCATCTTCCTGAAAGCTGACAGTTTGACAATCATAGAAAAGCTGCTGCTGTTTTGGCAACCCAAGTCCTGCCACTGAGGCAGTGTCTGGGTTTTTCTGCCAGTTGACGCCTGTCTCAACACATATTTCTGCCATTATTTTCCTCTCCCTTCTTTGTCCTTGCGCCTGCTTCTTGTACCTGTATTTCTTCTGTTTGTGCCCTCAAAAACGAACGCCTTGCTCTCCAGATTCTCCTTTTTAATGACTTATTCTGACAATTTAACATCTTTAGTGTATCCTATCTGCTTCTGCCTTGACCTTTTTCCCCCAATCTAGAGGGAAATAAAATGAGATCCCAGCTCTGCATTGTGGGGCTCAGAAGGAGAGAAACTCATCCAAAACAAACAGATCTCAGCTTTGTGTTCCAAAAATTCACAGATGGCCAAAAGACTTGCAAGTCAAACACGTCCTGCACCATATGAGATGACAATGTCTGAGACGCTCAGTCTGCCAGCCCACTCAGTCATTGTACAAGACAGGGTGTCCAATCTAAAGAGCCTGTACTTGGAGCTCCACTGGGAAATGAAACTTTCAGTAACAAGAGTTGTGAAATCTGTGCTGTTGGGAAGGGTTGTCAAAGGGATGGATTGGTATTTTCTGAGTTGGGGTAAATGTACACTACATTGAAAAAATTCAAAGCTTTTCCAATCACAAGCCAATTAGTCTTAGCACTACTTTACACACCACATGAAGCAGATTAATCAGCTGTTTGGGTCTGCGCTTTTCGAAAGAAACAAAAAATACATCCAAGCCTTAAAAAAGACCAATTTTATATTGAATATAAAGCACTTTTTACTTTAAATCATACACAAGTTAAATCAGAAACTCTTTGAGGTCTAGTTTAAATGATAGAAATCCAGACCTACAAAAACCATGTGTATGTGTCAAATGTTGTGGCTGTTGCGTATTATATGGTTGAAACACCAAAGCATATTCTAAGAAATGTGTCTTTCATTACAAAGTTAGAGTTACTGTTACATCAGTAAAGACATAGTTTGTTGACATGAAAAGTATTTCTAGATACTCAGTTGATTAAGTTCCTCATGAACATAGACACTCAAAATACATAAAGCAACATGAAAATAAAATCTTCCCTTTCAGCTCAGTTAAATTGCAGCAACCGGGATATGGTGGCTAGCTGCAGTTATTAGTCTGTTTTATTCTCATATTACATCAAAGAACGCTCTGGTGCAACAATCCATTAATGCTTACTAACTGTTACTAATCCTAGTAGAAATGTTGAAATCTATATAGACTACATCATTATGTGCAAATAATAGTTCTAAGGATAAACAATGTGATGTAACACCTGTGTTAGAAAATACAGAAAGAATAAAGCAATGCTATTTGATTGTCAAGCAGTCATATGCAGAGGTCTGTATGAAGGGGGCATGCAGGATGGATTGAAATCAGAAGGATGGGTACTTACCGACAGGGCGAGCTGGAGACACAACAATGGTGGAGTGGATACACAAACGAAACAAAATCACGACACAGACGCACAAACACATAAAACAAGAGAAGAGGAACAGAAAAAAAAAAACAACAGAATGAAATAAGACAAAAAGAAATCAAAGTCAGAATGAATGGCATGTTGTGTTGGGGATAACACATTTGTTTGCACAGGGTAAGGATGGCAGAGAGCATCCAGTAGCTTCTGTCAGCTGGACAGTTTTTATTGAGAAGCTCATGGCTTCTGTTTCTCCAGACAACTGGTTAATAAAGGCAGCCTGGTAAAAGCGCCCCCTGGTGGTCAATAATTGTGAATTGCATTAAAATAGCTTCAGGAGACAAAGCACCTACTGGATCTTCACTGTCTGCATTTAATGAAATACACAGGTCTATGTGCTGATGGACAGAGCAGAGAAAAAGAGTGAGAGGAAGAGAGAGAGCATTTCAGAGAATAAGTGAATACAGCATGTTGGTTACATAAAATGTCTTTCTATTTGGGAGAAGTGGTGGATCCCCAATGTGTCCTCCACATTACAGAATGTGTCCTCACCATCAAGTGACACACCAAGATGCTACACTCCAAAACTACCTTACTAATGTCAAATGAAAAGTCAACGTTGTTTTTCTCCCTCTGGCCCCCCTGTGTTGCACCAAAGCGGTCCACAGAGACCGTTAACACTTGGGTTTAATAGGAAGAAGACGGTTGAAAAGAGGGGAAATTATTGTTAGAATGTTTTTATTAACCTTACAAACCCCAGGTGTGGGACCGGCGGTGTGCACCAGTAATCTGTGAAATGGCTTTGCTGACTGGATGGTTACGGCATAAAGGGTTGCGTGGCTAGCGGACCACCAGGACGGGGGGAGGGTGGCAAAGTGTGTCACGCTGCACTTGGAAATGTAAATAATTGAATAGGTTTATATACTGTGTACATCTCTCTTTGTGTCGGGAGTCAGCATTCTGGATTTTCATTGGAGTAAAGAAGACCCTGTGGAGTAACCTGCCAATCTAAACCTCACACGCAGTACAAGAACAATAACATCGGGGGTTCATGACTTCTCAAAGTGGTGTGTTGAGCTAGCTAATGTGAAAAAATAACATATAAACAACAAAGGTGTTTCATACCTCTGACTGTGAGAGTGGCGGACGCCTCCAACTTGCCCACGCGGTTTTCTGCAACACAGGTGAACGTGCCCTCGTCGTTAACGGAAGCCTTCTTCACTCTCAGCACATAGTCGTCCTTGTCATACTTGATATCGTACCTGTCAACAAAAAATACAACATCATGAAACCTCAGCTGTCTTTTCAGCAATAAATGCAAAAACCACAAAGTCAGATAAAAAATGAACCCTCTGAAATATTAGACTTCAGTATTTCATCCATAGCTGTTGAGTTGTCTGCCAGTTTCAGTGGAAAGTGCATTTTCTCTTCGAGGGGTACACAGAAGCACAACTGTTCATTGTGACAAATGGAGATTGCAGGGAGAGGGATCAATTATTCAACAATGACACAGAGTACACAGAGAAGTGTGCGTTCAGTTGGAACCCTCAAAACTTGATCAATATTCATGAGATGTTTCTCTGTATGTGTGTGGAAAGCTTTGACTACATTCAGAGCTTGATGTGGATGTCATTGTAGTCTGCTACATGTGTTTATTGGCAACATATGTACACTGGAACACACATTCTTATTGTAAAGCACCTGACTGAATTAAATTCAGATTCTGCACAAAGACAAAGTCTGACCAAATTTCATTTGCACTGCAGTAGTCAAATGTTTGTGTTTATGTGTGTGTTTGCCGATAGATGCCAGTGTGCTTAGACCTGTATGAATTGTATGGCGGTTGACAGAGGGATAATGCTGGCCTGGTTTGTTGTTCCAGGCTGTAATTGAAGGGGGTGCAGGCCTGGCAGTGTGTGAGCAGTGTGCTGGAGGGAATGGAGGCTCTATGATAGTGGTCTGTCAGCCTGACAACCGTCTGCCGCCCACAAGCTGTCACTCACAGACACTGAGAACAGAGATGAAATGAACTGACACAGGGCCACTGTATCAGTGCTTGACATTATATTTGCCTCTGTGCGACAGTTCTTTATTTTGAATAAAAAGAGACAATTCAGTTGACATCGGTGCAGTCTTTTTGCAGCATTCGGCCCTTTCAATGTATCTAATGCACTCTGTTAGTGTCTTTTTTTAATACTACCACTGGAATCCCCAAAGTCAGATTTTTTCAAACCCACAAAGGGGCTTTAAGGGGCAAGCCTGAAGTTATATTATCCTTTTATTATAGCTTATGACTCTGTTCCATAAAACTCCAAACTTGTAGTCCAACAGCTATTAAAAACACATAAAAGAACCGAGAGCAGTGATGTCTGCCCAACATGGAGCTAACCCCTTCAGAGACTGAAAACGAAGTCGTCAGAATTGTTTTAGAGCAAACTACACTGGTCATGTTCGGTGTAATGGAGAAAAAGGCGACCCACTGCAACAGAATGACTCTTTTTATGTGTTTTTAATATGTTTTGGATGACATCGGAGCTCTTTGGAACAGAGGAATAAGCTACATGGGCTTACACAGATGATACTCGTTAGGAGGATAAATTCAGTTCAGTTATTTTGACTCTGTAGGGGAACAGTTAAAAGTTAATAAACAATTGTTCACAGTGGATAACAGTTTACTGTAGAAAATACATAGCACAATTATATTTGGCAAAAACCCCCTTGGTGTAAAGCAATAGCCCCTGGTGGGACTGGGGTAACAGTATGTTTTGGTCCATTTCCCTCAGAGTGGGAAAGACCCCTCAGCTCGACCTCAGGTGTTCCGATGGCTGCTTGCCACGAGCAGCTGCAGAACTAATCTGACCTGTCTATCCATGTCTTATTTTTTTTGCATGCTGTTATGACATTTCCTGAGCAAGCTTTCAAAGGCAGCTTTATTGAATCACATTCCTCAACTTTGACTGCCAGTTCCTCCTCTCTGCACAGGTACTTAAGGAGCCATAATGATTATTTGACTGAGTCATGACTGAACGCTTTGTTCTACACAGAGGGGATGTACAGTTCAGGTAATGGCTGAGGATGTGGATAAAGCATTTATTGTTGCAACAGAATGAGTGGCATCCAAAGGAATGAGACAGCACCTTTTGGGACTTGCCTGTTGTCAGATGAAAAACAAACAAGCTAACAGAGAGAGAATCCTCCCATACACTGCCCTCTGGCTAAGATGGGTAACTGAACATCCTGACATTGTGAGGGAGGGTGGAAATGTGAAAAAGCATGTTAGGGACAAGTTAGGGCTTAGGGAGACTGCTGTGACTTCCACAGTGAGATATAGTGAACAAGTACAGTTTTCCCAGTAATCTCAATCAAGTCGTCCAAACCCTTTCTTAACAAGTTGATTGTTATGCAAGAATGAATTAAATCCTATGTCAGCATGCTAAATGGCTCACACTTCAAATGCCAACATGCTAAAGAAGGTAATACACTTCATTGAATTTTAAGGTTTGCTCATAAGTTCTAGTGAAAATAGAACTAATGGAAATGTCATTAGATTGTCAGGTAGCAATTGGATAAACTGAAAAGTCAGCGCTGCCATATTTTTTCTTCTTCATCAATGTAATACAAGGCATCATGTTGTTAGCTAGCTAGGTGCTTATAATAGACAAATGGCTTACTCACTTAAAATTGACTTTTAATGAAAAACCATGGAAGCCGGAAGATGGAAGGTTAAAACTTATTTTGTTTCCTATCGCATATATTCTGAAAATTTAGTACAGCTATCAACTTGCATACTTGTATACTTCTATCAGGACAGGCTGCACATGAAGATCGAATGTAGATCCCATCAGTTTGGTCACTGGTCATGTAATATAAATGTCATCACCTCTGCTGCCCGCTCGCCATGAACTGTTCTGAATATTTCCTGCTGCGTTCACACATCAGCTCACCCCAACTCTGCGAGGAAATGTTACTAGGGGGATTGCAGGAAAACTCCTGTGTAAAGCAGGGGTGGAAAAATGTAGCTTAGCACATGTAGCTTACTATGAAAAATCTTCTGGGTTGATAAGCGTACGCACCTGAAGAACAACATGCTTATTGTCTGCTTATTGCTTATCGTCAATCTCTCAAACACAACCTCAGGCTAGTGCATGACTAATTAGTGGGAAATATGAGCCCAATCAATCTGTAATCAACTTCTTATATGAAATCAGCCTAAATGACAAGATGAGTGGAAATACTCAGGGATAAGAGGTAGTTGTAGCCACACACACACACACACATCAGTACACACAAAAAAAGAACAGTAGCTCTTTATTGAGACTGGATTGGGGTAGAGCTCTGTTCTCTATTAGAGGAGGAATGTAATTGCACATGTAGAAGGGCTGTGGATAGTATAGCCGAGCCAAGCTCACCCCGCCTGACTCTACCTCCTTTTCAACCCAAAAAGGCACCCTGTACACAGAGGTTCACTCACACAGAGAACAAAGTATACAATCATCTTACACATATGCACCCATGTGCAGAGTTATTCGCTCGTGCAGGGAGATGAGGAGTGATGGGAATGTGAGCGAATGACAAGACAAAGCAGAATTTTTATCGGTTGTCAACTTGATGTGTTCTGCACGCAGAAGGCTGCGAAAACGATGAAAACTTTATTGGACAAACTTTAAAAGCCTTACATCTCAAAAATCCTCTTCATCCTCTTCATGAGAGGATTTGCCTTGAAACCGTCTGTCAGGAACACACTCATCCATGTTCCTTCTTTGGATTGTGTGCCAGTTCCCTTACATTAAAAGAATCTTATCTCTCATTCCATTGAATGAGTGTGTACACTTAACCGCAAAATGACCCAACCTGAGAGGATCTTATCTGCGGCTCCCTTGTGTGTACATGTGATTTGTGGCTGCGGTAGGCACAGGGCTTGTGTGCCAACTGTGAGCACATGACTCAGACTGAAGATACAGCACTGCAGGACTAATTCCAGCTGGCTCTCTGGCCTGACCGCTTTGACACAAAGTCCCCTCTTTGCTCCATTTCATTCTGACAGTCTGATCCACTTTCACACCATCTGACTGCTACTTTACCTCATCCTGATCAAAAGAGCTGGAGTCTACCTGTCCGGGCATTGTCACCCATGAGAGGGAATCAATTAACCGCTATCGCTTCTCATCTTCCTTTTGTAAGGCCCTTAGCCAGAACTGCACTCCCTCTTGGCACGTCCCTCACCTCAGCGGGGTCAGGGCCTTCCCATCAGTCCGACTGAAATTAATCACCTCATCCTACATTAATCAAAGCACAGTTTGGCAGGAATTCAGCCCTTATGGTAAGACGAGGGGTTTGTTAGAAGAAAATTGATCCTAAATTTGCCTTTTAAAAAAGCTTGTCCTTTATGCCACAGCAACTGGAGTACAAGCCTGTACTTAATCAAAAATGGTTTGGAGCGGGCACCATGGTCGTCCTGGAAAATGTTGATGATTGAGGAAAGTTCAGCTCATTGATTGATGTCTGGAAGCAACTATTTTTTCTTACTTTCTGAGAGCTTTTGTGTAAGAAACAAATCATGCGCAAACACACAAAGCATGGAAAATGTCAGAGGCTGAGGTAAAAACTTGCGATTTCTTAGAAGTAAGGGGGTATATTTTTCTGTTATTCATGAAAAAAACTGAAAGCAGTAAGATATAACAGATGACCATCTGCACATCTTCTGGAATAATTCTAAGACAGGTTTCTATATTCTCTATCATAAAAAGGTTAGTTATCATTTTATCTAACTTAGTTTGTTCCTACACACCCTCACATATCCTTCTGTCATTCCACTCACCAGCCTCCTCAGACATAAACAGCAGATGTCTCCACTTATATATCAGGATGGAGGCAGGATGGAGACAGGAACCATAGCCTGCCGTATTTTAATTCTGCTGAGTTGTGGAGGAGAGAAATCACAGAAACTGGATGGTCAGCACAACACAGGCGCTCCTGTCACACCAGCTTTAAAAGCTCTCTCAAATAGAATGACCCACACACCTTTATCATGCACACACCCACACCAGCACACACGTACCACAGAGGGATTGAGTCAAAAAGAAAGGCCTTTTCTGCTGAATGTTGCAGGGGCTGTGCTTTGGAGGTCATTGGGGACATAGGGGGCTGAATACAGATAGACTGCAAGACCAAAGGGGCTCTGATAAGGCACAGGAGAGGGCACAAAGGGTCCACAGCAAATGAGGAGGGAGCGAGAAACCAAAGGAGGGGAAGACGTGGGCCACACACTGAGCTCGTAGGCAGTGAGAGATAAAAAAAGAAATACTGCTCAAGTCTCCTCACTGAGATTCAGAGACTGTGGCACAAACTCCTCAATATGTAGACTCAAAGCTCTGTGATGTAGGAGCAGCTTTGGTGCTTTCCCCAAGATGTTGTTGAGATGCTTTACAGACGGATAATAATCTGATACTTATATTAATCCAAGCCAAGACACTTTCTAATAAAACAATGGCTTGTTGATGCAGCACTGAATGTGGATGATGGCAAATGCCTTTCCACATTTTTGGAAAGGCATTGTAGGCCACATACACCTTACATAAACCCTTTCAGCATTTTATAGATTTTGGGACACATGCTACAATCCAGCTGCTTTACACAGAACACTTAAGAATTTCTTCTATGAGGAGACACTACTCTTCAGTCTGAATCTCATCTAATGTGTACTTGTAAAAAATATAAACCCAATTTACAACCATGTATGCAGCCTGTTGAAGGTGCTCCTGTTCATTTTCTTACACAAAATAATCCAACTGTGAAATTCTCTCTGCAATAACATACCTGTGCAATTATCTGCATTAATACTGTCTTTTTATAGTTCACTCAACAATGTTCTTCTTCAACAATATTCTCATTTAATCTTAATTATACATTCTGGCATTTATATCTAATTACCTCTTATCTCAGCATTTCACCTTATTGGATGCATCTGCTCATCTCTCACATTTTATATCTATTGCTGTATTTCTTGTCTATTCATAAGTTGTAAACAGTATATATTCTGATTATGTAAAATGTACATATTTTACACATTTTAACTTATAGTCCATGCTTTCATTCTGTACAGGATCAATTGTAATGCCTGGGTTGTCCCCCTAAATATGAATAAAGTTTGTCTGACTCTGATTAGAATCAAATTGAGTTGTCTAGGGGAGGTTGGGGGATTTCAATATAACGTGCAGGTCAGTGACTTTAATCCTGCCTGGAGCAGATATATATGAGAATGTTCTCTTCCTCTCCTCCTACCCTGGTAAGAGTTAAATCTTAATTACCTTCCGTTTGTTCTCATAACTATTGGTCCTTTCATAAACCCACCCTGGAAGAGAAACCTCAGCACAAAGAATACAGTTCTGAGTAACAAAGGAGGAATTAGTGATGCCCTTTTTCTGACCTGACGGCGACATACTGTACAGTCCTATTTAAGAGCCCAGATGATGAAGGAAATGGAATAGCCTTTATGAAAGTAAGAACCCGCAAGCTCAACAAATGGGCTGATCTAATTTCAGCTACAGGTAATTATTCTGTCTTGGCTAGTCTACCTTTTTTACAAGTAATTGTATGTGTGGTGGACTGCGTCTATTTAACACTTTCACCTCACAGACACAGTGCTCTCCTTCAAGTCAAAGTATAACAGTAAACAAGACAAAACCATACATACACCTATATTCATAAGAATATAATTGTCTTTTAAATAATGTATTCACCTGCAGTTTGACGCACCTGTTGTTCCTTGACATACTTTGACCCTGATTCTAACAAGTGACCGATTGATTGTTTTCCCATTGATGTCTCTGAAGCTTTCCTATTATGATGTTTGCAGTTTATAACAATATATTTGTACTTTTTATTATATTACAGTAGTAAAACCTGTTGACAAGTGTCGAGTAAAGTAGCTTGTTTGTTGATTTTGATTTTGTTTCCACAGTATAACACCCACAAAGAGGTAAAACAGCAGCACCATTGTCTTTGTTCTCTAATTGAAACCATTCTTGTGTTGTCTCTATCTCCTTCTCTATCCCACAGAGACTGAAGCCAGTGCCATCCTGGCGTGCTTCATGTCTGTCTGCCTGAGCGTGTGTGTGTGTGTGTGTGTGTGTGTGTGTGTGTGTTTGCCTGAGAGGCTGCTGCAGCCACTGAGCATATTAAAGACCTGTTTACTCAGCTGAGGTTCCCTCTTCCTACTATAGAAGTTGCACCCACACAAACACCTACAGAAGGTCACTAGCATGCTCAAAGCGTGTTAGGGGAGCAGCAAAGTTAAAACTATTTGATGGTGAAGAAGAAGTCTCTCTTTTAACAGCTTATCATAATAATAAGGACAGTGTAACCTTTTTGCATAAAGAGTAAACAGAGATCTCTCCCCTTTGACTATAGAAGTGCTTGATCTTTGGTCGTCTTTATTCCTACAGTGAAGACCACAGCTGATCAACAGACAGATTTCCTTAGTGTAATGAAACATTGGCTGTGCTTCAGTAGCTTTCTTTTTTTCTCCTCTTCCTTAGAGCATTTATAGTTATCAACCTGGAAAATATTATTTCATGGGTTTTTCAAACAATCCTTCTGTCAGTCAGAGACGAGCCCTATTTGATGTTTATTAAGTGAGGATAAGCAGAAAGCAGGAACAGTCATTTAATAACTCCAGGACTCTTCTTTTTGGCATCAGAAAATGTCAGAATTAGAATATCACATTATACATGCTTGCTTTCTGCTTCAAAGAACAACTGGAGAATTAAATATAGCGAGGAAAACAAAGGAGCTCATGTAATTAGAAACTGTGCAATGTTTATTGCTTATTCATTTTTACAGTGTCTTCTTTTCAGTTATTTAGCTGTATCCAAATAAGGCCAAACATCAAAGGAAGGACTCATCCTACTCTGTTATAAATTTGTTAATTAGTGTACAAAATAAACTAATTTCTAGAGCCAACTCCCTTTCAAAGACATGAGTGAAATACTTTTATGTGTTTGCTCTGGCACCACACTTGTATCCCACTGCCCAGTGAACCAAAACCTTATCAGACACAAACAAGCCTCCCACGCTCTGCTCTGCAGCTAGCCTTGAGAGATGTCAGGTCCACAGAGTGTATGTTTTCATGAGGTGATCCAAGGAGTGTGTCACTTGTCTGTTGGCTGGGGAGAGAGCGCTTGTCTCTTTGAAGTCCACTCCTGACAATGACACTGCTGTTGACTGTGGGTCCAGTGACTCACAGTGGAGCAACAGGCAACACACAGGACACGACGGGGGCAATATCACTATGTCATCAGTGGCTTTTTTTTTTTTTTTTTTACAGGATGTGAGACAGACTGTAGCTGGTCATGGTTTGAGCAGTAAATTACAGAGTTGCAATGCGCTTTCTTTCATCAGATTCAGTTTTTGTACTGTGGGTGTTTGCATGTCATATCAGCCAAGGTACAAAGACTGAAGAGTTAAATGAGCAGGGGAGGCCGGGAGCTTTTATCTTTGGGGTTTCTGTGCCAAAATTGTACCTGAACAGCTGTACACAGACACCACGTCAGCTGCTGTTCTATGTCTCTTTATTTCTCCTGTCATTCATTCTGCCTGTATCTCTACCTGTCAGCCTATTTTTTCCCCTCGTTTAAGAGCCTGCCTTTTAGCACACCTGCCCACTTACCTGTCACTCAGTTTTAATTGTACAGCTCAATATCTGTTTGTCCTCATACAGACTCGTTCTTTGACATGAAACACTGTCACCTCCTGTAATGGTCCACTGGGGCACCAGAGGCACCTGAGTCATTTTAGCCTGAATGTATAATCTGCATTTCACACAGCCTAATAGAGCTCTTAAAGCCCACTGCTGGCAGACAGTCCAGGGGAGAGCTTTCTGTGTGAGTTATTATTATTTTGAAACAGCCACTCAGATTGAACTCATGCCTCCACAGCTTCTTTGCGTTAAGTGCAGCCTGTCACACAAGTATAACACAATTGTACTGGAATGCAGAGAAGCACACGAATGCTAAAAGTGGATTCTCATACAAAGCAACAGAGGAAAAGACAGCTCTTTATAAATATTCTCGTAGATGCACATACCTCCCACGAGGAACGTCAACGTCGTCTTTCCTCCAGCGTACATTTGGCTGAGGGTCTCCTTGTACCTGGCATCGGAACTCAACACTCTCCTCTTCCAGGACCACCTGGTTGATGGGCCTGCGGAGGAAGGTCGGTCGCTCTGCAGGATAGACAAAGATAACTTTTAAAAATAGGCAAATGGAAATATTCTCTTCTCTTGAATTGTCAATTTCCCTCTGTCATTGTCTTGGTCTGTTTTTCAGCACTATATCATAATTTTATGCACATAGACATAAGGTAATGACAATAAACAGCACCATTAATGATATATTCATCCCATATAGGACAAAATTACAAGTAATATATAATGAAAAAAGAAATGTTTGTCAGTTTCTCTGCTCCATAATTGTACAAAAAAATATATTTCTGGAAAACTGGAGTAATAAAACTCACCAAATACTGTGACTTGTGCTGTCTCACTGTCCCTTTCTCCGACCATGTTGGTACCCACACAGATGTACATGCCAGCGTCACTCTTTCTTGTGTTGGAAATCATTAGCTTTCCTCCTCGAATCTGAAGGGGGGGGGGGAGAAACTCCTTGAATACACAAGTATGACCATTTCAACAATTGTTAGTTAAAAGTGCAGCTAAAAAGTATGACTCATCTCTATTATAATGACATGAATGAGACATTTTCAATGGCAGATCATTACAGGAGCTAAAGCTTTTTTTCTATGCTCTCACACACTAACAATAAAGCTCCCAGTAGATCAGAACAGATGGTAGTGGTACTTACAGTGATCCTGTCATCCTTGTCTTCAATTCGCACTTTGTCTTTCTTCCAGTAGATGGTGGGTTCAGGATGGCCTCTGGGAGGAACACACTCCAGGATGGCTGGCTCTCCTGCTGCCACCACCACGTCTGTCGGGTTTTGTCTGAAGTCATCTCGCAGCACTGAGAGGAAAAAAGAAAACAGTTCAGGGTGAGTACAGCAGTGTAGCATACTTTTAAACTTAAATTGCTTTAAGTCAAACTTGTTTTCCCCTGTATGAATATAGTTGTGTGCACAACACAGTATGAATGTGTGCCGCTTTCATCCTGGCTATTGACATGAGATGTGTGCAGCTTCATCTGACAAGGCGAGCACAAGTGAAAGCTAATTGGAGCTAATGGAGGTCCCTGTGGATGTAGCAGAACAAACACAGACAGAATGCCCTGAAGCCTGGTGTCATTCACATGTGAGAGCTCACAGTGGTGTTACACTGCTTCACTTTGCTGGCATAGGGACACACACACACACACACGCACGCACACACACTCACAGATATGTACTAACACACAATGTCAGTGGGTGGTCTGGTGAACAACTGTGGCCTTGTATCTAATCACCCCCAGGTAGGCCTTTCATCACAGAGATAGCCTCTCACTTTGTATAGTGTTCACCTAAACACCAGCACATTATTAAACAAGGAGAGCTGCTGTGAGATACAAACACATGTAGGATCAGACAAACACAAATGTGAAAGCACAAACATACTTAACTATCTGTTAGGAATTCAACTCTAAGAGCAGGATTGGTCTTCAATAACAATAAATAAATAAATAGATATCATACTTAATGTAGATTGAAGTTTAAAGGTACAAACTAAAGGTCATGCTGCCTCTCCTGCTGTGTGTGCTCAAAGACATCTTTCTTCATTTGATCTCCAATAAAACTAATCCGTAGAGTGGGACATAAGGAATTTCAGCTGCAGCAGTGTCCATCCGACCAGCAAGAGATGCCTTATTCCTCTGAAGGATAAAAGGACTAAGCTTGTTGGAGGATGTTTGAAGATGCTTGAGGAGGGCTAAATTAAGGGCAACACCACAGGTCCTTATGTAAATTCCACATGGCGCTGGGGACAATGGCGGGGAGTGCCGGGATTATAAGAGGGGATAACTGGTCCCTACGCTCCAGGCTTCTCTCATCTCTTCATTCACTCTTCTTACCCTCTTTACAGAAAGCAGCACAGCCATTGTCTTCTTATTTATTTATCTAGACGAAGGAGAAGCGGGCGCAGGCAGAGAGGAAGCTTTCAACCCAATTATCCTGGGGATGCACAGGGGTACAGAGTGGGACTTTTGTGTGACATGAATTCAAATGAAACCTTTACACAGGGGTAATAGGAGAGAATACAGAATAGGTAGAAGTCGAGGTTTTCTGTCTTTCATGCAGGGCTGCCCTCTAATCTAAAAAGCCAAGGTAATTAGCCGGCTTCAGAGTGGCCGACCCTCTGCCTAGGGTGGGTATAACAGCATCACTACTGTGCTCATGGTATTTGCATTACAAACGGAGGTCCTGCTGTTTAAAATCATAGCCTGGTTGGGACTATACGCTGCCTGTTGTTTCCAAGATCAGGTTGGATTTAATTGCTCCCCTCCATTCATTGCTAGCACCCATGGGATCTACCCAGAATCGATTTCCTCTGAAACAGAACAGTGACAAAAGAAACACACATTTCGTGCATCATGTGCCATTCTGTCTAATCTAATCTCATACTGCAAAGTGTGTCACAGTAAATGCTCCCCTGCCCTATAATCTAAATAAATATAGAACATGTAGAAACAGAAAAAATACAAACAGAAGAGCCACACACTAAAGCAAATAAATAACGAACAACACACTTGCTGAGGACAGGATAAACACAGAGTTACAAACAGCTACAAGTGAACCAACAGATAACACAGCACCAGTGAAGGGATTAGGCCCTGTGTGTTGGTTCAGGACTTGTTAATACCAAGACAACACAGTGAACAGATACACTTACTAAGCAAATGAGGGCAGGGGTCAGCCCAAATACTCTTTTGTACATAATTTAATCCAAACAACAAGGCCATGGCCGTCAAGGTTCACCTCCTACAGTTTACCAATAAACACACAACTCAAATATTCTTCAGCTCACTGTAAAATCTGCCCGGCTTTATTACAGTACAAGCATGCATCTCTCCCGTTGCTGCCTTAAGGCACCTCCATGCACTAGTCTACACTATGCATGGGATCATAAGGCAAGTAAATGCACTTATATTAGAATCATAACATGACTGCATTCTCCATTAATCTAAGCATCTGATATGTGTGTATCATTAAGTGAGTCTGTGCATTAGCTGTCAGAGACAGTTCTCCAGCCAGCTTTGAGGCCCTGTAGGCATTCAGGGCCCGAAACAGCCGACAGACGTAAGGTAATTGCCTTTCTATCCCCCTGAAACACCCAGCTACTCTTCCACTGAAAATATCTCACCTCCCATGGAGTTCCAGCAGGCCCCAAACTCTGCCTTCTTGCTTACCGCCTTATTAATATTTATATATTTTTTACATTTACACCCCTCTGTTGGCAAGTGCTACATCTGTCAATCTGGCTGGAGGCTAAAACAAACTCATATCTGAATAATATTAATCTGCTTTTGCCTCTCATATCTCACTTATTTATTTATTTCCCAAATATCACAGGAGTTGGTTGATTTGTATGAAGGAGCATCAGGCAGGGGGCAAAGCATGGCAAATTTGCAGCTCTTTCAGCTGGCACTGATTCAACACCTCAAACTTAAAGGGGCGGGAGTCAGGTTGCAAAGTTGTGCTATGAAACAGCCAAGGGGCTGGGAGTGGAGGTCTTTGCCAAAATAAAACACAAAGGAGACACCCACGCAGTTGTTTTGTAAACCAGATTGTCCTACATTGGCAGGGGAGGCCTGTGCCAGCAACCATTAAGGGAGTTTCACCTGGAGTGTCTGTGTGTGTTCTTCTCTGAGATAGACTCAGCAAACAGGAAAACTTCCAGCCACAGATACATGACAGCACAAACACCTAGCATCATAGCACAGAGGTGGCAGGGCAAGGACAGCATGAGGAGAGATATTTTGTACAGTGCACCCTCTTCTCCCATCTAAGATATTACTCACAGGAAGGGGACACGGCTTGTCTGTAAGATTAGTGGGGAGCCTTGACTGAAGTGTCCGGCCTGCATACTGAGATAAGTGCTGACAAATGCATTCACCTACAGGAGAGCACCTAGCTTTGGTTCACAAAGGTTGCGTTCACTGCCACAACAACACAGACTGATGTAGAAAATATAATTTTCTGACATTCACATCACTTTGATAGACATACACCACACACATAAAATCTACGCTCACAACCCAGACAGACTGTGAGACATTTCTTGAAAGCTGCAGGGCTTGGTATCTTTTTGTAATACTGCAAATTTGAATGTTTGTGTATGTTTGTGTGGCTGTTATTACTTTCCCCTCCCTTTACCAGAGGGAAAGACCTTACATGCTTTTAAAGATATTCTCCTGGGTCAGGGTCTAAAAAACACAGAGAGAGATTACAACAGTGAGAAGCCCCAGGCCATACCCCAACACCCAGACCCACCACCTTCTACCCACACTCTGATTAGAAAATAAACCATGCACACACACACACACACACACACACACACACACACACACACACACACACACACTGGGAGAGTGTTTGAGAGGTAGCTCCAAGCTATAATATCATTTTATTCGAGTGCTTTTTGCGCTTCATCCGGCAGAGTGCCATTACAATACCGCCATTTTCAATTCTACCCTAAGAGAAGAGAGACAGTATATATGTCACTTGACAAAACATACCAAAGCCACTCCATGTGCTGTCATTGATGTTTTGTATTACTGTTGATGCTGAAGGCAGGAGAAGGATAATGCTACACTGTATAATGCTACACCGTGAAAGGAGATGTGCTCCATTTGTCTGGATGCAAGTTTTTTCTTCACCCTGTCTCACTCATTTGCCCTCCCACTGGACAGAGCTAACCTTTGCCCCCCACATCCAGATGCAGAAATTACCCCCTCAGCATGCAGGAAAGCAGCAGGTTCACCTATATCTGCTATATGCCTCCGCTGAGGGGTTGCAGGTCAGACCAGAGAAACAGCTGCAAAAATATGGCCGTCTGGCGGTGCCCAAGGCTGCACCTCCTCTGAGAACTGAGCCGAGACTCTCATCATTAGCACAACTCATCACCATTCCTCTCTGTCCAACTTATTCTCTCCTATCACCATCAGGGGTCATCCTCTGTCTTCCTTTTGGCTCTTCTCAGTTCATCACTTTTTCCCAATCCTGCAGCTTTGTCCCATGCGTCGAATCTTTCCCCTTTCCTCACTCTCACCGGCTCGTCAGGTTTTCTCTCTACACCGACTGCAGATGAGTTTTTCACAGATGAAGCCATACACATGCACACCGGCCTATCATTCTCCATGAACCATGGCCAAGCATGATAAGATCTCCACCACTATTCTCCCTATCTCCCAATCCAGAGCTAAGGGATCGTAAATAACACTGTCACTTACACCGATAAGATACAGGGAATATGGCAAAGAGTGAAGGTAAAGAGAATCATGTGGCTGGCAGCGATACCTTCGTGGTGGGAAATCACAGGTGGTGATATCATATGAAATGTGATTCTTTAATAGAGCCTTGGATTGGAGAAAAGAGATGTGTTCCATAGTGACAAAGCCTGGTGAAGAGAGGGAAGACATATCCAGACACAACAGGGAATGACGAGAGGATGTCTAATCAAGGTCAAACTGAAGAGAGGAGTACGAAAGGTGCTGATAGATGGGGCCTGACTGTGAATGAATAGAGTGCATTCCATCAAACTCATACCACATACTGTGCTTCTACCTCTGATTCAGTACATAACCCTAAACAATCATCCTTATTTAAACAGCAGCCTCGATTAATGCTTATTTTTCAAACAGCACCCCTAATTTGGCCTAACAAGCCCCTGGGCAGCAAGGTAATGACAGGAGGACCACAGTGAGCAATTCTGCTGGCAGAGCCAGGAAAAATGTGTGCTGCCGCTCCCGAGAAACAATATAATAACTCCTAATGAACCTCTTTCCTTTACACCCCTTAACAATACCAACACACATAT